CATAGGGTTATTTTACAGAGTGGCCCAAAAGTCAGGACACATGGGGGTAATTTTATTTATTTTTAATAATTCACTTAGGGTTACTTAATTTATTTTAACAAATTCTCAAACGGGCTTGCATTGACTTTAACATATGATGCATGAACTCTCTTTAGAAATTAATTTAGGACTCATTAAAAAGAGGTTACAGGTGTAATATTTGAACATTCATCAATTATGTTTTGTCTCAATGCATTCAGGTTTATTAGTCGAGTTTTGTCGAAACGACGGATTTTAGGTGACTCCGCAAGAAGAAGAATATATAATTAACGATTATAATCGATCAAATATTAACTTAAAGAATAAACAGGTAAAATGTTTTCACGTCAGTTTTAACAAGAATAAAATAAGCCTCTGTGCCGTGACGTTTGGGTCATCCTCTGTATATCTGAAATCAGCCCAAGCCTCTAGTAAATCACGTGACTTGTGTGCGTGGCCAGCCCCACTCTGAACCCCTCTCCCATCTCTCCGCCTGCTGTGAAAGCAGCAGCGGCAGCGTGAAGGCCCCGACGCAGCATCTCCCTCCTCTGTCTCTCCTCGTCTCCCCTGATCCCCGTGCCCACGTTTCTGCGCTCCTTCTCCATCCTCTACCTCTCATCTCCTACTCCTCGTCTCCCCCCCCCCCCACCGCCCCCCACGCATCGCATCCCCGACTCCCCCTTGCCGTGCCGTATAGTCACGGGTAAGCGGCGTGATTAGTCACGTTGTGTACGGCATGTCAAAGCGATGCCCGTCACATTTCCTTAAACGTCTCATGCAGGTGACCGTTATCCTCAACGTCATTATTATCATCATGATCGCCAACATCGTCATCATCATGAAACGACATCGACCATAATCACAATAAATCCTAGTCAATCATCATATATTAATCATCGTCGTCACTACTACCATCATCAACCCCACCGTCATTACCACCATCATTCTAACCCTCATCATCATCATCCGTCATACACATTTATCATCAGCACCATCATTACCTTCATCATCATCACCAACTGCCACCCACATCATAAATCATCACCATCATCATCAAAATGATCATCATTATTAATAAACACCACCATCATTGACACCACGACACATAATAGTGTTGGTGCTGGTGGTGGTTGTGCCTGACGATTGGAAGGGGTGATGGTGGTACTGGATGTGGTAGTTGTGGTGGTGGTGGTGCGTGACAATGGGAAAGTGCCGGTGGTGGTCGTGTTGGTAGTGGTGGTGTTGGTGTGCACAGGCTACCGTGTGTGGTCCCACCGTTCCACAGTGACTCCAACAATTTGGTCGAGCTGCCCCTAATCGATATCGAGTGGCCGGTTTGAAAGAGCCCCCCCACCGCCACCCCCCCTGGTGGAACAACGCGAATTCATTTCACGCTACACCTCACCGTACGAGCTGCTCTGATGAGCCTGAGCACAGCTTCTCTGCAGTTGGGCTCCTCGTCGCGAGCTCTGGGCGTGAAGCGCACCTCCCCTCGCGGTCCCGCAGTGCCTCTCACGCCGAGACCCGGGCCCACCGCGCCATCCATCACTCCGGCCATCGCCATCGCTTCGTCGACTGGAATGCCCAGCTGCCTCCACGACCTCGCCTGCATCAGCTGCTGATGCTGCTGTAGCTGTAGATGTTGCAGCTGCTTCTGCTGCTGCGTATGCGGCTGCAGCAGCAGCTGATGATGATGATGATTGATGAGGTCTCTTTCATCCGGCCATCCGAGGTCGAGCATTGGCGGCTCCAGATCGGACAGCTGTGGAAAGTAGGTAAGCGACCGCGCCTCTTCCAATGTCCTGCCTGCCTCATCTTCGTGACCAACGTAACCGGGACATTCCACTCCTCTCTCCTGCTGCTGTTCCTCGTCCTCATCCTGACAATGCTGCATTGGTGACACCTCCACGCTGGCCAGGATGGCCTCCATCTCGTCGTCGTCGAGGAAGTCTTCCACACCTTCCCGCTCCACCAGCGAGCGGTAAGCGAGGATGCCTCCGCTGAGGAGGGCCTCCAGAGCCAGTCGCTGGTCTTCCCTGTAGGAGTCCTCGGCTTCCCGACGAAGGACGCTCATGTGCTGAGTCCCCCAGTCCTCCAGCTGCTGAGACTGTGCGGACATGGCTGATGGCTGAGGCTGGAGTGGCTTGATGAAATGTCCTTCCGTGATATAAAAAAAGGTGCCACCAACTATTGGCCAAAGGGGGGGGGGGGGGGGTGCTATCAAATTTTGAGCGGTCGGTTTGAGAGGAGAGGTCCCTTGTGGAAAATTTTGAGATCAAAATTGGCCGGCCAAGTCTTGGCGGACAAATACTGACGCGGCCGCTTAGAGAGAAAGATATTACCTAGCCTGTTGTCAATCAATGAGGCCAACAACTGGCAAAGCTGTCCTAGCAACCGACTCTTTAATTAAGCAATCAATGAATTAATTCACGAGTTCAGTGATTCTTTGGAACGTATACGAAAAAAAAGACGTTGGTTTAAGTAAAAGCAACGTACCAAACAGAGCACTGCACGAGGTTTCCGACTACGTAACACGTCTCGGGTCCTCTGAAAATTCTAAACAAACACATCCAGGTAGATCTTCATGAAGTCGGCTTGTGCGAACGTCCGACTCGTAAGGCCACGCGCACCGGAGTAACTTCGGAGCGAGTTTGAGAGGTGATGTCACTCGCGAAGGCTCGGGAGAGTAGTTTTGAATTCTTCAATCAGCGTGCGCGTCCTCTGTCTCTCTCGTTCTATCCCTCTCTCTGTACCCTGCCCTTGCCACCCTCCCCCCCCCCACCTATCTAGCTCTCTAGACAGCGTGGGTACGCGAGGACTTAAACTCTCCCGGGTGCCGTCAGGCATGTGGGAACACGAGAGGCGCGGGAGGAATGCGCGCGCCACACGGACGAGTCGACGGAGAGCGGGGCGCACGCGTTCGCAGCAAGGAATTCCAGGTGATGGCACGGGGCGCGCAACTGGGGAGGTGCGGGATAGGGGAGAGAGCGTGGAATTTCGGAGTTGAACGTGAGTGGCAAGAGGAGTCGCGGTGTGTCTACGGGACCATTGTTTTGTCGGAATCAAGATGATGAAAAAATAATTGGCTTCACCCATTCCGGCAGCAATAATGATGTATTAACATGTTCAAACACCAAATAGACACCACATATTGCAAGGCATTTTCAAGTCTGCATTCACCACACATCATGATCGTGGTATCACATGCAATCAAACGCGCTTTGATGATAATGTGTGCATTGTCCTTGGAACTGATTGGCCTACACCAGAGACAGCCTCCTTTAAGGCCTTGTCTCACGCCAAAAGTCGAACAGCACAAAGACAATGCAAATATCGAAGAGTTAATAGCGCGGGTTGAGCAGTTATATTTATGGGACCATTTTGTGTCGGTGTCAAGATGACGATGATTAGGGGCGCCACGGTGGCTAGGAGATGTTAACAACCTCGCCTTGTATGCGCGAGATCGTGGGTTCGATCCCGACTCTGACGCCTGTTGTGTATTTAGAGTGTGCATGTCTCTTCTCCCCGTGGTCACGTAGATTTTCTCCGTGTCGTCTGGTCCCCTCCCCCACACATTCAGAATCAACATCATGCGTTTAGAGTATCTGGCCGGTATACAATTCCACGTGACAAGCCACTTCCGTTGAGCTATCATTTTTGGCCAGGTCCCTTCCAAAAGAGCTCTGTAGCTCAGTGGGGCCTTACCTGGTAAAATAAAAAAAGTTTAGTTTAGAACAGAGAATACGTTTTACCCTTTCCGGCAATGATACGATACGGTACGAAGTGACTCTACGGCTAACGGAAGATGCAGCCAGAAACTCCGTTCCGTGTCCGCATGCAAGTGCCCGAGTCGGGAATGGAACCCGGCCTGGTCCCTAACTTGCTGAGGCACGAGTATCACCATCGCAGCGCCACCTTGAAGACTGGAAAGTCTTGCCATGTGACTTCATGCTGTTTACAGAATACCCGAGACTCCTTGGGGGGGGGGGGACTGTACAGGTGCAACTCCCACCACTACTCCTTGTACGAATAGAGATTGACATGTCCGGGCTTGTTTATGGATACATCTTCTAAAATAAATATCTGATGGATGCGAACAGCCATGCCCGGCTCACTCTCGTAAACACCTCCGCGTCTTCCCGCACGGCGTTTCAACAGAGGGGTCCATTGTCCAGCAGCTGTTGCAGCTCGCTGGGCAAGCGAGAGGGAAATTTCCCACTCCAATTACCGCCGTGCTGTTACTTCACAGGGATGGCATTGTCAACGAGCGTCATCCCCGTCACCCCGCACCCGGCATTTTTAAATACACAGCAAACCCTTGCCCATCGCGGAGGTTACATTATTTAAATAAAATATCCGCAATCGGCAAGTCCGTGACACGCAAAGTCACAAGGCAAAAGGCAAGGTTATGTTCACGGTTCGAAATACAAAAACCCAGCCCCTCCTCCTTTTGTTTTGTGACCCTGCATCAACTCAAACATTACACAGGAAGTGTGTATATGTTTTGTGACTCTGCATCAACTCAAACATTACACAGGAAGGTTGTATATGTTTTGTGACCCTGCATCAACTCAAACATTACACAGGAAGTGTATATGTTTTGTGACCCTGCATCAACTCAAACATTACACAGGAAGTGTATATGTTTTGTGACCCTACATCAACTCAAACATTACACAGGAAGTGTATATATGTTTTGTGACCCTGCATCAACTCAAACATTACACAGGAAGTGTGTATATGTTTTGTGACGCTACATCAACTCAAACATTACACAGGAAGTGTGTATATGTTTTGTGACCCTGCATCAACTCAAACATTACACAGGAAGTGTATATGTTTAGTGACCCTACATCAACTCAAACATTACACAGGAAGTGTATATATGTTTTGTGACCCTGCATCAACTCAAACATTACACAGGAAGTGTATATATGTTTTGTGACCCTGCATCAACTCAAACATTACACAGGAAGTGTATATATGTTTTGTTAACATCAAATTTTATTGTCATTCGAGAACCCAGAATGCAAAGTTAATTTAAAAAAACACGGGAAGCTTTTTTTGTCATTAATGTAAAATATGATTGAGGTTTTCTGCAAGTGTTAAACGTAACTTGCACAGTGTACAATGGTCGTGAGCGGGAATCGAACTCGGGTTGAACGGGGTTCTTAGCGGAGCGCGCTAATCACTTGCGCAACAATACATTAGCTGACACTCATTGTGACTTCACTATCATCACCGTTTTACTATTTTTTTCATATACATGCGTTCTTCAACTCGGGCATAAAAAGCAACATGCCCACGTGCCCAAAGAAGGTTATCAATCAGCGAAAACAAAAAAAAAACTCCTTAGATGTGTGGATTATAAAACTCAAATGGAATTCAGAGGTAGCTCAGTGATATCCGCTTCCAAGGGACAATCAATCTCTTAACACCAAGGGTTGCACTGCTTTGCGAGGAGTTCCAAATGAGCGCTTCATCTCGTGATGCCGATGGCACAATCCGGATAAAATTGGGGAAAGAGACAAATGACCCGAGTGGGGATTCTCAGAAGAAATGTGCTCCGTTTACCCGAATAGCGATTCTCTGCAAAAAAAAAAATGTGCTCCGTTCACCAAAATGCACTGACAAGCGTGGTGAAGTATGGTCAAACAACCACCGTGGCCGACACAGTGGAGGGAGGCCTTCATCCGGCAGTGGACCGACCAAATGGCTGTCCCCACACCGATGTACACACAGGCACATCCAACACCGCTGACCCGAGATCACGCCTTCGGTCGTGTCGTTTGTTGCTGGCCGCTCGGCGTTTCGGAGGGTCTGGGCCCACGCTGGGCGACGGTGGTGGTGATGATAACGATGAAACAAAGTTTAATCCGAAATAACGAGCGGCTCTCGACGCCCGCTTGGCGGAAGGAATCGCAGGCAGCGCGCGCGCACGAGGCGCCGATCATCGCGGGGCAAACGCGCGGGAACGGCTTCTTCGTCACTCCTTAATTACTTTATTGATCGCGAGCATTTCCTCCCGCGACAGCGGGGCGAGATCGAAGCCCTTTAGCTCCGGTTTGCCTGCAGAAAAAGGGAGAGGGAAAAAAAAACATAGGAAAAAAAAACAAGCCGCTCGCACACACAATCGCAGGACGCTCATCGCAGTGACAGCGGAATGGATTTGCGTTTGACCGAAAAAGCGCGGCACGCCGAGGCTTCGTGGCGCGCTCCACGTGCCGCAATTGTCAATTTCCCGTTACTCATCCCCCTGCGTGTTATTGCAGGTGGGGATGGAGTTGTGTGGTTCATGACCGCAACTTACATTTGTTCCGCCGCTATTACCCCGCTTGCAACGACTCGTCATGAAGGGTACCGCCCCCCCCCCCACCCACCCACCAATACCGCCACCTCTACCGGCTTGCCCACAATCGGTGGATCGGCTGCAATTGTGCCGATAGAATCAGAATCTTTATTTGTCCTGGAGGAATCCGATGAGCCATTAAGCTCTTTTTTCACAAGTAGCTCTTCTGTTGAGCCACTGGGCCGGTTGGTCTATGACAACCAGGCACATCGAACATTTGTAGACACTAAGGGATGGTTTCGGATGAAAAAACCCCACAATTTTGGGTTTTTATCTCAAAAAAATAATTACACTGCGTAGTAATAATTGACATTATGTACTAATTTAAGTTGATGCAAATTTGGCAAAACTCAAAAAATTACTCGTAAATTACTCAACTGGGCTTATTGGTCGTGAAAGCCTACGTGTTAAACCAACTGGGAATACAGGCAGCAACTAACGCCCACTACCGGCAGACCAAAGCCGTGAACCACTCTTGAAAATTAGACTAAATCCTCGTCTCTTTGAGTTCTCACCTGGTTATACAATGTAAATTTGAACTTAACGTATCTACATGCGGACAAAAGTGACCCGGTGTCACGTGACACCACTTTTCACCAGAAAAGCACGGAACAGATGTAATGCAAGTGACATCATTTCCCGTGACGTCGTACTTTGCGGTTGATCTTCAACGAAATAAAAAAAATTGGATCGTCCGAAACCTCGTATCTAGGCCCGATGGTTTTGGGATGAATCTGTTAATCTGGAGCACGTGCCTTGTAGACACCCTTCAAAGTAAAAGAGAAAAACAATGTATCCGTCCAACCTACACTGACTATCGTGAAGTATGGTCAAATAACCCACACGCCTCACACGGTGTGTGGAGGCCTTCATACATTGTGTCCACGTGCAAAAATGTATTGGTGGGGTGAGAGGGGGGGGGGGTAAAACAGTCGTTAAGTCAGAATGTAGAACATTTACAATCCATGTTCTGAATAAAACAACTTTAAGAATGGAATAAATCAAGACATGCTTAATAAAAATGTTGGAGAGGCGGTGCAGTGTTGAGTAAAATTGTGCTAAAAACTTGGTGACCCCAAGTGTAATTTTCTCACCATGGCTGATGGCAGTGGTCAGATGCCCCTACTGGACATCTTGTGAAAAGGAGCTTAATAGCTTCTCGGATTCCTCCAATATAAATATTCTTATTCTTCAGTGGTGAGCGATATCCGAACTGGTCCCCCGAGCCTCCCGCCGTCGGTCAACTCGTACCGACCTACGCGGACAAAATTGTCCTCGACGCCCGTGCGCGACCAACACAGAAAAGCCTGGGACAGGGCTTTCGTCCGGCAGTGGATTGGCAACAGGTTGTACATTTTGTGCGGTGACTCAAACTCCCGGGGACCATTATCCTGATCAGACGCCCGGTCGCCTGATGGCAGCTCAGTCCAACCGTGAAGACGTGAGGTGCGCGGAGGAGCGAGGAAAAAGGTCAGACGCGGCGCTTTTATTGCGGCCGCTTTTAATGAGAATCACCGCTCATGCGACAAACGCTCCACGCTTTGGTCAATTGAGAGAGGCGGTGGTCGCCATAATGGAGGATTATACCAAGATATATCTAGCGTACGGTACTGCAAAGGTTAAAGGCGCAGCCCTGTAACGTCTCTCTCGCGCTGTTGCTGGCAGACGGGCCTCCACTAGAGAGCCCCACGAAGCCGGTACCACCCAAGGTAGCAAAACGTTAATAGTACCGAATGATTTATACGGCTTATACGAGTTAACGATTGTTTCATAGCCCACCCATTTCGATTGGTTATAATTCACCGTTATTGGCGACCACGAGAAATTGTAACCACTGAAGTGATGCCACCTCAGTTGTTGGTAACTGACATGCAAATGATCTGGTCTGGGCTCATAGGACTGTACAGAGGATATATTTGGCCTACTCTTCCACAACAGCTATAGGGGAAACCGATATCGCGGAAATTAACATCGCATCGTTTCGTGAAAATAACATCGCGGCTACTCGAACAAGTGGGCCCGTGACCTTCTCACCTTGTGCCTCGTTCAGACGATTCAACTTCACCTTCAGCTCCCTGCGGATCCTCGTCATCTCCGACTCCAGCTGCTCTTGATCTGAAGTTCAAACACGGGGTCGACAGGATCTCTTCAAGCATCCAGTGTACGAGGGTACAACAAGCGGCGTTCGTTCTTTTATTTTTGTCAAACTTAACGATTCCCAAAGTTATTCCCCCCCACCCCTGATCGTGATGTCGGTATCATGACTCAAGACAAAGCATCCATTAACACGGTTGACTACGTACAGTGCAAAAGAAGTTCAACATACATACATCTCTCGGACAGCAGCGAGAACTTTCGTGTCAGGGAATGGTCCACAGAAGCTGATATTACAGAGCTACCTCTGAGATCGCTTTCAAATGACCTTTGTTTTACACGGAAGTGGGAAAGTATTTTCATAAAAATACTCCTGAAGAAGATCCCTCATGGTCCACGCTAAAGTACATCCGCACAAACCATGGCAGATGCGGATACATGATGCACAAAGGACGAATTTTTAAATCTCCAGTTTGCGATTTTGGTCATCCAGAACAGACCGTACAATGTTTAACGACGCAATTCCCGATCCACAAATACGAAGGAGACATCAGGGTGATGACACCAACTCCGCTGCTCCTGAAGCCGTTGTCTGGCTTGACCACCTGAATGTGAATTTGTAGTCGTTGCTCTGCATCTACATCGACAGCCATACGAAACAAGAAGTGTGGAACCGAACTTACCATGGTGGTTTTTTTTCATGGAGTCATTGGCGAATGGGCTGTGGCTCATTAATCACTGAACACTTGAGAACCCGGTTTAATAACAGGCAGCTGCCTGGATTCGAACGCAGATTCTCAGCAGCGCCGGCTCAGCTCTCTGACCTACGAGACACCCGTCCTCCTACCGATCGGTGATTTAAAACTCACACGCGACGATGCGTGTAATTGTGTCCAGTCCGATTGTGCGGCAAAAATATTTACCATTTTTTATCATCTGTCTTGTCTTCGATCGGGGTATTTTGATGAACATATTTCCAAAACAGACCCAGGTTTTTTCTAAAAAAAAATCAAACAACCATTTTCAAATTTCACAACTCAAAAAAGTATTCAGACAATAAATACGCAAGTACGTATTTTAACGGAGGAGACGTGTATAGGTGTCGGCTTACAAAAGGGATGCATTCTTCAAATAAACACGGGTAAAACAACATTTCATGAAGAGGAATGGATTTACCCATTCATTTAATAGGAAAAATGAGACGTGTGTTCAGACAGTCATTCCAACGCTACTCATGGTCGGAGTTGTATTATTCACTTCTAAATAATAAGTAAGCGGGCTTCACCTGATGATGATCGCTTGTGTTGTGATCGAAACGTCGTAATTTTTATTTATTTTATTTGTTATAGATTTGAAGCTTTCGTGACTGCAAGGATCCATACTCTTTGGTTCTATTCGGTAAAGTCACGTAGGTATTTTTTACCTACGTTATTTTATTTGTATTCATTTGAACCTATCTACGTGATTTTACCGAAAGACCCAAAGAATAAATTTTGATTTAAAGCTTTCGTGACTGCAGGGATTAATATTCTTGGTTCTTTCGGTAGTCATGTAGAAGAGAAGCAAAAAAATAATAGTTTTATATATTTTTTATTTTATTGTTTCCCTTCTACGTGACTTTACCGAAAGAACCAAGAATATGAACCCAAAAAATATTTTATTTTTATTTTTATATTTTCTTAAGTGATTTATTTACCGTTCGTATACTTTGCACTCCAATTGTGTGTTTGTACTGTTTGTTCATGTAACGTTCTGACCCATGCCCTGACTGGACATCTGTGAAAAAGAGCTTCATAGCTCATCGGATTCCTACAGTTTAAATGAATATTCTGATTCTGAAAAACAACATTCTGGAGTCTCTGTACCCGCAGCTGCGCCCCCTTGCACGGCACGAAGAGCCTCTCTGTTGCTGTTCCTCTTCCTGTCCAAGGCGACCATCTGCAGGGAACGAGAGAGAGAGAGAGATAGTTCGACGTTAAAACTGAGATCCAACTCGGTGACACCACCAAGCACCTCCATCATCTATCAACCCTGCACCTCCGGAGCCACACACGGATCTTTGGCTGCCCCCTTGCGGGCGGAGGTTTTAAAAAAATATATTTTTATTTTATTTTACTTGGTTATTTACACTCAAAAGCAGTGGCTGTTCTTAACCTGGGGTGCACGCTCCCCTTGGGGGGTGCGAGACATGGCCAGATTCTTATTAGAAGGTAAATAATCAAAAGACAAATTAAGCACGGACACGTAAGTACAACTACTTTGTTTCATCAAACCTATGTATTTATTAACATACAATTTTTTTTACCATTAAGAACCAAAGGGCTGCAAGGCTGCAGTGAAGGTTAAAAACACTGCTCGAGAATGTGTTTGTGTATAGTGCAACACAAACCTTATCGCTAAAGTCACGTAGGTATAAAATAAAATAAATCACGACGTTTTGGGCGCACAACACAAGCGTCCGTCATCAGGTGAGAAAACATGACGGACGCTTGTGTTGCGCGCCCGAAACGTCGCGATTTATTTTATTTTATACCTACGTGACTTTACCGAAAGAACCAAAGAGTATGGATTCCTGCAGTCACGCAAGCTTCAAATCAAGATACAATCCTTATCCATAAAGAAATTGACAGGCTACATGCCAAAGGGAAGTGGACACCACAACGGCGAATTGCAGGCATGAGACTCCCCGACTTGTGCTGCTGCTGCTGCCTGTGAACGTTAACAGCACCACTGAGAAGTGGACAGATCCACCCGCTCGCGGATGCATACCCTGTCAACCCCTTATCAGTGCCTACTTTATTACACACCAATTTAGACCGTATTGAGAACCCAGTGCCGTTATAAATGTTCTACGTTCATCCTACAAAGCCCAATCACAAGGGAAAACAACACAAATATATTTTTGCTCGCACTTAAACGGCTGTACGCCGTACGAGTCTGAAAAACTCAACTCTGCTTGTACATGAAAACGGGGTTAACCGTATGGGTTGACGGGTGTATGCGGGGGTGTGAGGTGGAGTGGGTTTCGGTGGACAACCGCGGGGGCTGTCTGTTGGGGCAGTTAAGGGAGTAAGAGAGTCTGAGATGTACAAAGGGGCGATCATAGTAGTTGGGGTTCAGTGAAGCATGGAGAGCAGAGTGGGGTGGCTGGGTTGTGAGAGCCCCATTGGAAGGTATAAAATAAATACGTTTTGGCGTGTTACAATTGCGAAGTAATACAATTTGTTTAATTGCGTTATCCATATCTGGCTACATAATATACACGATTGTCAGTCTTCTCTTACTGTTTTTTTTGTATGTACATGGCAAAATCTAGGCGATGTTACCACGAGCAGCCCTCTCTCTCTCCGCGTGATGCGGCTCTCGAAATATTGTGGTACAAAAAAAACTGAAACAGATGGTGACTCTTCCTCTTCTTTGAAATGTTGCAGACCTCTTGGGCCAGATCCACCCAACAACTTCATGTGACCCGGCCCTTGGGACAACATATCGTGCCAACCCATACGGTTTAACCCCGTATTCTTAGACAGGGAAATTTCGTTTTTAGGTCCATGCGGCATACAGCTGGGTCAATACAAGTTAATATTTGCGTCTATTTGTTTGTGTTGCTCCCTTGTGATGAGACTTTGTAAGATGCACGTTGAGATTCATACGGGCACGGGGTGACCAATAAGGTGTGACCTACTCATTAATAAGGTAAGGGGCCGTCCATAAATTACGTCACGCGATTTTGGACGATTTTTGACCCCCCCCCCTCATCATACGGCGTCACAAAAAGTCAGAACCCCCCCCTCAAATATGACGTCACAAAGCTCTGCCCCCCCCCCCCTAAAAAAAATAAAACATGCTTCAAATCGCTTTAAACTATTGTCATTGTAGTGCGTATTTAATGTGGTGCTGCACTCTGATGTTGTAGGAGAAAACATTTATTAAAAAGTCTATTTAATTAAGTAGAACGTGTTGTCTATATTTATTTAAAGTTGCACATTTCGATGTGACGTCACATCTCTCAACCCCCCCCCCCCACCCTTCGTCACATATCGTCTCAAATGTGTGACCCCCCACCCCCCTAGGTGCGTGACGTCATTTATGGCCTCCCCCACCCGGGTACGCCCCCCACCCCAGGCCTTGTATCGTCAATTTGCCACCGACTGTTCGCAGTGGCCGCTAACATCAAGTTTAACGTTTCATTTATTAGGTATAGCCCTGTGAGCCATGCGGCTCTTAAGCCGGGTGCAACCGCAACAAACAAAATTTTAACACAGAACATCCTGGAATAAACCAGCAAATATTCCACACAAAAAAAACGTATTAAAACGCTGTGTGCAAAAATCACAAATGTGGTGCAAGCCAACAACAACCATAAGACAATTTAGATTAACCGTATGTTTTCGAATCACCAAAATAAAGCTATAAAAACAATGTAACAACAGTAATCATAGGAACTGATTTTAAATTTAACAATAAACAATATACACAACATGTACGACAAAACCTGCAGCCATAGCTGGCAGCACGACACTCCCAGTGTATGATGTGTGAGTGAGTCAGCAGCAGCGTGAGTGTATGATGTGTGAGTCAGCGCATGATGAGTGAGTCAGTGTATGATGTGTGAGCGAGTGTATGATGTGTGAGTGAGTGTATGATGTGTGAGCGAGTCAGCGGCAGTGTGAGTGAATGTATGATGTGCGAGTGAGCCAGCACACGATGAGTGAACCTGTGTATGATGAGTGAATGGGTCAGTGGTTGTGCGAGTGTATGATGTGTGAGTAAGCGCATGATGAGCGAGTCAGTGCATGATGTGTGAGTGAGTAAGCGCATGATGAGCGAGTCAGTGCATGATGTGTGAGTCAGTGCATGGTGTGAGTGAGCAAGCAAGAACACCTGCTGGACTACATAGTGACGGACCAGCGGATGCGAGCCAATGTCCTTGACACCAGGACCTACCGTGGTGCTGATCTGCCCTCTGACAATCGACTAGTTATCTGTAAGATGCGCCTGCCATTCTTCCACTCCGGTGGTGGGTGTACACCCAGGACCCCATTCCAACCTAAAGTGGCCTGGTCTCAGTTATACGATGAAAGTTGCAAGCGACAATGTCATCATCGCGTGCAGCTGGGGTTGGCATCGTCCCCCACTCCTCCTGATGTCGAGGGTAAATGGGCGAGGTTTAGGACTGTGACTTATGCAGCTGCAATGGCTGCTTTGGGTACGCGGTCCAGACCTCCCCAGAGACCCTGGCTGACAGAGGTGTTCAGGATGGTTGAGAAAAAGCGACATGCCCACTGTCATCGGCTACAGAATCCCACGTCAGAGAATGAGGAGGCTTACCGCAGCCTTCGCTCGGAGGTTCGGAGAGCCGTGAGGCGCTGCAAGGATGAGTGGTGGTCGCGGGTTGCTGAGGAGATGGAGTCTGCTTCAGTGGCCCGCGATCACAAATCTCTATTTAACTCCATCAAACAAGTAACCTGCAGCGCCACACCTATTACCATCATGAGGGGAAAAAACGGTGATCCAATCTCCGACCCCTAGGAACAGGTTTGCAGATTTGCTGAGCATATCTGTGAGGTCCTGGGGGAGAGGAAATCCCTCAGCCAGGAAAACATCGTGGCACAAAGTGGGGATGACCCTGCTGGGGCTCCAGTGCCTCAAATATTGGAAGAAGTCACCCACTGTGAGTGGCTGGCTGAGGTGCCATCTGTTGAGGAAGTACTGAGGGCGATCCGGAGTCTGAGACCAGGAAAGGCACCGGGTAGAGATGATCTCCCAGGCGAAATGCTGAGGGAGGGTGGCGTTTGTGCACAGACTGCCCTATATGACATGATAACAACAGTCTGGACAACTGGACAGGTTCCGCAGGATTGGAAGGATGCCCTGGTCCCCCTCTTTAAGAAGGGAGACCGCACAGACTGTAACAACTACAGGGGCATCTCACTCCTCAGTGTGCCGGGAAAGGTCCTGGCAATGATTATTCAACATCGCCTTGCCAGGCACGCAGAGGAGAGGCTTGCAGAGCCCCGATGCGGTTTCAGGAAAGGGCGGTCCTGCACAGATGCCATATTTTCTGTCCGTCTGCTACAGCAGAGGTGTAGGGAATTCCAACAAGACCTACATCTCTGCTTTATTGACCTGGTCTAGGCCTATGATACCATCAGTAGGCCTGGGCTCTGGGTTGTTCTTCGTGCTTTTGGAGTCCCTGACCCTCTGCTCACGATCATTAAGGACCTTCATGATGGTGAGTGGGCCCAGGTAAAACTACGTGGCCGGGAGTCAAGAGCCATTCCCTGTACACCTTGGGGTTCGACAGGGATGTCCTCTGGCTCCACATTATTTAACATCTATTTTGACCACATAGTTCGTGAAGCCTTCAATAGCTGTACCGGGGGAATCTCCATTTGGTACAGATATAATGGGAGGCTGATCGATGCCCGGGTGCGGTCAAGGGATGGCTCTCTATTGCTCAACCACGTTATGTATGCCGATGTTTTGGTAATAGCTGCTCATTCAGAGGAGTTGGAGACGCTGCTGCTGAGACTGGAGCGTGCCACTAAGAGATGGGGCCTTACCATCAGCCACACCAAAAACGAAGCACCTACCTGGGTATTTTGTACCATCGGACACTCCACCCCCACAACTCCCAATCGGTGATGGGGCAGTTGTGGAGAGAGTGGAGAGTTTCCCATACCTGGGCAGTATGCTTATGACCGGCTCCAGTTTAACAGCAGAGGTCTCACTCCGAATCAGTCGAGCGGCAATATCTTTTCATCGGTTGCGTAACGCTGTGTGGAAGCTACCTGGTCTGTCGCTCCGCACTAAGCTTCAGGTCTTCTCGGCCACGGTCATTCCCTCCCTTCTCTACGCTTGCGAAACGTGGACCCCCCTAATGGAACATCTTCGCCGGTTAGAAACATTTAGGCTAGCCTGCCTACGATCCATCCTGGGTTTAACCAGGCTGGATTGTGTGAGGAGCTCACAAATCCTTGAAAGATCTGGGCAAGGTCCCATCGGTGAGCTCCTCCGGCGGGCAAGGCTGCGATGGCTGGGTCATGTAGCCCGCATGCCCAGCCACCGCATGCCGAAACAGCTTTTGTTCGGCCGGATCGAGGGGGCTAAGCGGGCGCGGCACGGGCTAGAGAAGAGATGGAGTGATGTGGTACAGGAGGACGTGGAGCTGAGTGGACTTGCCGATGACCGGTACCAGCGGCGTCAAGATCGGCCAATGTGGAGGAGGCTCGTGAAGGACGCTACTGGGCAGTTGGAGGCAGTCGCCCTCCAACAACAACGGAGGGCGGAGGAGCGACGCTCACAACAACGAGCGGAGCGCCGGGTGGATAAAGCACAGCAGGTTGGCGCAGTAGGGGGCACAGGTGGTGCATCAGCCAGTCATCTCAGTCAGTCGACCCGTGGCACCTGGGTCTGCCCCGTGACCTCCTGCCAGCGGGCGTTCGACACTCCACGTGGCCTCAGGGTGCACATAGCCTGGCACAAGCGTCGTGGTGACGTCACCGCCACTTAGTGGCGAATGGCGGTTGTTGTTGTTGTGTGAGTCAGTGTATGATGTGTGAGAAAGTCAGTGTCGCCCCCCCCCCGCTCCGTCGCCCTCCCCCCCCTCCTCTTTGCATGAACGTAACACGCTTGTCGCATTTAAACATCGTACGGCGCACCTTGGCATGTCTAGGCGACATGTTGGGAACTACTACCACCATCATCATCGTCGTCAGCCGTGGTCAATCCACTGCTGGATGAGAGGCTTCGCGCCAGGCCGCCCGTTTGTAGAATTCCAACGCAGCATGTTCGCTGCGGCCTTGAGATGGAACTACGTGCGGGCGACGTTTCGGGCAATTACCCTTCTTCACAGCGCGCGCGCGCGCACACACACACACGTGCGCGCACACACACACACGTGCGTTTAAAATGCTGCAGTACAGTAGATGATTACGTACGGACCTGGTGTTTATCCGCCAGGAGATCCTCGGCCAAGGCCTCCACCTCCGTGAGGTAGGTGATCAAGAACTGCGCGTCGGCGGTCATCGTCGCAAAAGTTATCATCCACAAGAAGGGAATCTATATCTGGTTCGTGTCAAACTCGCACGTGCCCCGGGGACATTAAGACGCAGCCCACGAGACGTCGGTGAGGGGAATAAGAGGGGAAGCGTGCGTCTTATAATCCAGAGTACAACGGCGTGGTTGTTAATGATGGGTGAAGCTGCTGCTGCTGCTGAGAGCGAACGTAAAGAGATACAAATAAAACGAGTGTCAAAGCGAGCAGGCAAACTGCGGCCCCGATTGTCAGGGACAGCTATGAGCTAGGACCCCACCCCCACCTTGGTCCGTTGAGTCGTGACGTCAGCGTTTACATGACGTCATTTGTGAGCGTTGAACGTGGGGGGGTTCTTTGGAATGATGGCGTCATTGCGTGTTTTTGTTGAACTTTTGCACTGCACGTAGTCAACCGTGCTCATGAGAGGTGCGGCGGAAGGACAACGTCATTAAAAAGTGAACACGGTGTGGTTTGATCGGTGTTCTGAAGAAGGGTCATTGCATTAAACGTCACCTATGTGTTTTTTTAAGGCAGCGTTATTGACCGCTTAGTTTTATATTTTGAAACTTGTTCCGGGACGTCAGTTTACGCACGAACATTCTGGTGGTTTGTATAATGACGTTTTCAAATGGAGAACGTCATTGCTGATAGCACTCTGGCCATTCGCTAGTTACATGACCTCATTAACACTGACGTTGAACATGTCTGGAAATGCAGTGACGTCATAATGTGGTGAAGTGACGATTCCCAATACTAGAGACCAACCTGCGATGCTTGTATCGTTTGCTTGGCACTGCTCATATTTGAAACATCAATTGTTTAACTCTGTTATCAGTTCTCCGCACCTCCGATTAGCATGATTGGCTACGTACGGTACGAAAGAAGTTAAACATACATGCAAAAAAACAATCTACCAATTATATTGGTAGATTATATACATTCTAGATTATATACAATTTCGATTTAAAGCTTTCGTGACTGCAAGGATTCATCATCTTGGTTCTTTCGGTAAAGTCACGTAGAATGGTGGTGTCCCCAATCTTAAGATTGAGAATAATCTTAAGATTGTTTTATTCTCATTCTACGTCATACGCTTGTTTTAAAAGTAGGATAATCGATTCTAGGCGTTGAATTGAAGAATCGACACAGTACGGATCGTTAGAATCTTTCGCGTGCTGTACACATTACCGTGAGGAATCGATTAAACAATATCGATTCTACACGTGAATCGATTCGGTGTCATGCAAGAAGTTTGTGGGAGGCCTGGCAGCTCGGAATGGCCTTGCAGTGCCCCGTGTGTGGCGTTCCCATCGCTCCCGACCTCATCAACAACCACCTCGACAGCTGCCTCGAGCTCCCTCCCGAAGACAACGACGATGACGGCAATGTTGACGATCCACCACCACAGTCTTCACCACCACCACAGTCTTCACCGTCGTCGTCACTGACCCCACAGTCCAAGAGACTTCGAACCGTGAGCCCTCGTCCCGGGTCCTGGACCTCACCCTCTCAGTTGAGAACCACCGGGGGTAGTGGTGTTGGTGGTGGTGTTGGTGTCCCCGTGGCCTCATTTCCACTCTTCAGTCAGAAGCAAAGGTCTCAAGAGATGCTGGGACGCAGTGGTGGGAGCAGTCGGAGCAGCGGTGGTGCGACCCGGGGAGCGCACGCGGGGTGGTCGGCTGCGGTTGGGACGACGAAGACGGCCAGGGCTTCTGCAATGCGTTCGTCATCGGCAGCAGCATTCGCTGCGATAACATCATCAGGATCGGCAGCAGCAGCGGCAACAACGAAGTCATCAAATGTTAAAACACCAGCATCGCCGTTCGCATCATCGCCATCCTCGTTCCCGTCACTGTCATCATCGCCATCACCGCTATCGGGTATTAATCCGTCAGGACATGCGTTTGCTTCATCGCCTCCGTCAGCATTAAATAGCAATGCATCGCGAGTGACATCGAATATCAATCCACCATCACCACCACCACCGTCAAACTTCAACCCACGACCACCGGCGTCTCCCTCGTCGTTCGCCAAGCCTGCAGCCTCGTCAACCGCGGGGGGCTCCGCGGCCTCCAAGTCCGCCCGACTCGACTGCCGACCTCTGGCGGAGAGGATGCGGCCGGACACCCTGGAGGATCTGGTCGGGCAGGCCGAGGCGATCGGAGAGAAGACGCTCATGCGGACCCTGCTGGAGGCCAACGACGTCCCCTCCATCATCCTGTGGGGTCCGCCCGGCTGCGGCAAGGTGAGGCCCCAGAGACCCACCCCCCCCACCCAGCACCCCCTTCCGTCTCCGTGTTTACTCGGTGCGAGAGGGGTCTGTGACGACGGACTTGCGTGGGACTTCTTTCGCACCGTACGTAGCCAGCCAGCCGCGCTCGTCGGAGGTGCGTGGGGAATGACAACGCGCGTTCAGTGGGGACTGTGTGAGAGAGAGAGACACCTCTTTACACGATAGTCACCGCGTGTTTGTTTAATGTAACTTAAATTGTACTTGCACTATTATGAGTGTAAGCATGTTTACCGAGTCGGCTTTGGGCTATAGGGAATGCATTGTTTAAAAGTGTTTATGTTTAGTGCAATTTTTTTTCTATTGCTTCTATTCGCTTCATTGCTGTGCTATTATTAATGCGTTGTTTTTTTGCTTGTGTCGTTTTCGTGACCTGGGTCGCTTTTGCAAATGACACTCGGTTGTTGTCACTTAAGTTATCATCATCCGGGTAAACAATGAAACTGATCAAAATGTCATGGGGTCAACCCACAGTCAGGCCGCCACATTCAATGATACATTCTCAAGAGATGTGAAACGTAACGAGTAACTGCGATCTGTATTTGTCGTCAATCATGCATTCTACGTTGGCAAATCCAGTCTCCGTTATGATGGTGTAGTAAGCGGATATCAAATGTACTCAACTGTTTTTATTTTGCCACCAGGTGAGGCCCACTGAGCTATACAGCTCATTTTCAGAAGCGACCTGCCCACATGATAGCTGAACGAAGTGGCTTATCATGTGGAAATGTATAGCAACCAAATACTCTAAACGCACGGTGATTCTAAATCTTTAGGTAAAAACCGGAGGACCCGGTGAAAAATCCACGTGACCAAGGGGAGAGAGAAAGGCAAACTCGAAATATACAACAGGCGTCAGAGTCGGGGATTGAACCCACGACCTCTTGTGTATCAGGCGAGGCAGTTAACATCTCGCCACCACGGCGCCCCAATTGCCACCCCCCCCCCCCCCCCCCCCCACCGTGCCCCACATCGACACGCAGACGTCGCTGGCGCACGTCATCGCGGCCTCGTCGCGCAGGAGCGGCCGCGTGCGCTTCGTGACGCTGTCGGCCACCAACGCCTCCACGGCGGACGTGCGGGAAGCCATCCGCCAGGCGCAGAACGACTTGCGGCTCGCGCAGAGACGGACGATCCTCTTCATCGACGAGATCCACCGCTTCAACAAGAGCCAGCAGGTGGGGAGGCGATGTATGGCGCGACCAACCCGCACTAACCAACGTGGCGAAGTATGATTATTAACAAAAAACCATGACCAACATGGCAATGGGGAAGGCCTTCCTCCACTGGTGTATCTATAATGCCTGGAATGTTGAATTGGGGTGCTGCGGTGGCGAGATGTTAACTCCCTCGCTTGGTATACAGGAGGTCGTGGGTTCATTTCCTACCCTGATGGCTGTTGTATATTTGGAGTTTGCATGCTCTCCCAGTGGTTGTGTGAATTTTTGTCCGGGTCCTCTGGTTTTTCCCTCCACATTTAGAATCAACATATGTTTTAGAGTATTAGGCTGCTATACATTTCCACGCAATAAGCCACTTAGTTCTGCTATCCTTTGTGATGGCCAGGTCGTTTCTGAAAAACAACTATACAGCTTAGTGGGCCTTACCTGGTAAAATAACATATTTTGTTCAGTATTAGTTTAACGTATACGACTTCAAACGGCGGTGTTGGCTCTTGATCGTCGTCCGTCGCGCGCCCTGCCCAGGACACGTTCCTGCCACATGTGGAGAGCGGCGTCATCACCCTGATGGGCGCCACCACGGAGAACCCGTCCTTCCAGGTGAACGCGGCGCTGCTCAGCCGCTGCCGCGTGGTCGTGCTGCGCAAGCTCTCGCCCGAGCACCTGCGGCACATCCTGGTGCGTGCGCTTCCCCAACTTGGGGCCAGTGTCCTGCACGGGCAGCAGCAGCAACAGCAGCAGCAGCAGCAGCTCGCAGACGTGGGGCAGCCCTGTCTTCCCAACGGCGCCCAGTAAGGCGGGTTGTTCACGCTTCGCGGCTAATATTGACGGCTTAGATTTGAATTTTCATCTAGCCCCCTTGATTAAAATGTATACTGTCATCTTAATTCACGTGACCAAGGGGAGAGAGAAAGACAAACTCCAAATATGCAACAGGCGTCAGAGTCGGGATTGAACCCACGATCTCTTGTGTATCAGGCGAGGCAGTTAACATCTCGCCACCACAGCGCCCCATTTGCCCCCCCACCGTGCCCCACATCGACACGCAGACGTCGCTGATTTGCGTCTCCTCAACCCACACATACGTCGCTGACAGCATCATATGTCCTTACTTGTATCCGTCGCCTCTTGGCCTTCGCCTCTACCATACCCTCTACACAAACCACTTTGCGCGCGCGTAAACAAACGTACCCTTCTCGAGAGTACAATACATCATTTACGTACGGTATTTTGGTGATTTGAGAAAATTGCTGCGATTGACGTTTCGATATTTGACGGTGCACCTTTTAGGAACGCATGCTCCCCCGGGTGTATTCCCGCGTTTGCGTTGTTAGGCCGGTAGCCGTGATGGTGGAGGAGAAGGCGCTGGACACTATCTCCTTGCTGGTGGACGGTGACGCCCGTGCGGCGCTCAACGGCCTACAGATGGCCGTGCAGGCGGTGCTGGCATCGTCGGCGGCAGTGTCGTCGTCGCAGGGGGACGCTGCCGGAGGCCCCTTGCCCACCGTCACGGAGGCCCACGTCAAGGAAGGCTTACAGCGCTCACACCTGCTCTACGACCGAGCTGGTGATTATGGCGGTGGCGGCGACGATGATGATTGCGATAAGGGGGTGGGGGAGGGGGGGAAACTCAGCTATATAGCTCATTTTCAGAAGCAACCCGGCCACAAAGTTATAGCAGCCACATACTCGAAAAGCATGTTTATAAATATGGAGGGAAAAACTGGAGGACCAGGAGAAAAATCCACATGACCACGCGGAGAACATGCAAACTCCAAATATACAGATGTCCGGGTCGGGATCGAATCCACAACCTGCTGTACACCAGGCAACGTAGTTAACATCTCACCACCATCTGTCTGCACGCTATCCTATCTGTCCCATCGCCCCCCTCCCCCCCCCCCCAGGGGAGGAGCACTACAACTGCGTCTCGGCGTTGCACAAGTCACTGCGCGGCTCGGACGCGAGCGCCGGCCTCTACTGGCTGGCGCGCATGCTGGAGGGTGGCGAGGACCCGCTGTACGTGGCCAGGAGGCTTGTGCGTTTCGCCAGCGAGGACGTGGGTATGCATGGGGCATGGGTACACGCGAGACAAAGATCCTCCCTGTAGCCTGAATAGACCTTCGGGGTGAGTGCTGCGCTCGAAGCAACTTGTTGTCGTGATGTTGCGTGCGATATCACATTCTTGTGGGCCACACGTTCCAGGACTCCCATCAGCAAACACCTAGGCGCGACGGTGTTACTTTCTTTTCCGCCAAAAGAACCGTGACATCGTTGACTTGTCGTGGTTAAATATTACATTTCTTTGGACAGTGTGGTTTTGCTTTACGTTGCTTGCCTGCTGATCGGCATCGCGTCCTCCACTTTCCCTGCGCCCCCCCACCCACCCGTTCCGCCCTCCTCCACCCACCCTGCACCCCCCCACCCCTTCTGCCCTCCTCCCAACCCCTAGGTCTGGCCGACCCACTTGCACTCCCCCAGGCGGTCGCTGCCTACCAGTCCTGCCACTTCATCGGGATGCCCGAGTGTGAGGTGGTTATTTTAATTCAACCTTTGCGCAGTGGGAGGTCACTCAATCTCTTGTGCTGCCCCGTTGCCCACGCAATGCCCGACTAAAGAGTAATGTTTGTCACGTGGCAGGCGAACCAATAATTCGACATCGCAAAAGTGACAATTTAGCCAAATTCAGTTAAAAACTAAGCTTGATGTTTTTTTTTTACATACAATCATGAGTGACCAGCCTGAGACCATGAACGCCACTACAAATGGTAACTGAGTTACATCACGGCGGGGTTAGGGGTATAATCCAGAATAGAACCCAGCATCTCAGTGTTGCTGGCTCAGTGCCACCTTAAACGTATTGCTTATACAACCCGTCAGCCGCACGGCTTTCTGGCAGTGCATAATTAGATATTCCAATGCTCCCCCACCCCGTCCACCACGAACATTCCTCCCCAATGGCACGCGGTTACCAATGGTATGATTAATAAATGGGGCCACATCACGCGGCAGACTATTGTAAATTGTAGATTGGATAAGTAGCACTATGGTCCATAAGCTTAAATTATGACGTTAAAGATAAAAACAACTTCGTATTTTTCAACTAATTAATATATAATGAGCATTCTCACTGCCTCCCCTCCTGACCTCCACCCTCCCAACCGAAACTTAACTATTTTATTTACCAGGTTAGCTCTTTTTCAGAGGTGACCTGGCCACACATTGAAGTGGCGTTTCACACGTGGGGAAGTATAGTAGCAGCCGAATAACCTAAACGCGCGTTGTTTCTAATTGTTGAGGAGGGGGGCAAAACCGGAGAATAATCCACACAACCATCACAGGGAGAGGGAGGGAGAGAACACGCAATCTACAGTGAGGGAAAAAAGTATTTGATCCCCTGCTGATTTTGTACATTTGCCCACTGACAAAGAAATGATAGTCTTTAATTTTAATGGTAGGTTTATTTGAACAGTGAGAGACAGAATAACGCATGTCAAAAATTGTATAAATTAATTTGCATTTTAATGAGGGAAATAAGTATTTGACCCCTCTGCAAAACATGACTTAGTACTTTGTGGCAAAACCCTTGTTGGCAATCACAGAGGTCAGACGTTTCTTGTAGTTGGCCACCAGGTTTGCACACATCTCAGGAGGGATTTTGTCCCACTCCTCTTTGCAGATCTTCTCCAAGTCATTAAGGTTTCAAGGCTGACGTTTGGCAACTCGAACCTTAAGCTCCCTCCACAGATTTTCTATGGGATTACGGTCTGGAGACTGGCTAGGCCACTCCAGGACCTTAATGTGCTTCTTCTTGAGCCACTCCTTTGCTGCCTTGGCTGTGTGTTTTGGGTCATTGTCATGCTGGAATACCCATCCACGACCCATTTTCAATGCCCTGGCTGAGGAAAGGAGGTTTTCACCCAAGATTTGACGGTACATGGCCCCGTCCATCGTCCCTTTGATGCGGTGAAGTTGTCCTGTCCCCTTAGCAGAAAAACACCCCCAAAGCATAATGTTTCCACCTCCATGTTTGACAGTGGGGATGGTGTTCTTGGGGTCATAGGCAGCATTCCTCCTCCTCCAAACACGGCGAGTTGAGTTGATGCCAAAGAGCTCCATTTTGGTCTCATCTGACCACAACACTTTCACCCAGTTGTCCTCTGAATCATTCAGATGTTCATTGGCAAACTTCAGACGGGCATGTATATGTGCTTTCTTTAGCAGGGGACCTCGCGGGAGCTGCAGGATTTCAGTCCTTCACGGCGTAGTGAGTTACCAATTGTTTTCTTGGTGACTATGGTCCCAGCTGCCTTGAGATCATTGACAAGATCCTCCCGTGTAGTTCTGGGCTGATTCCTCACTGTTTTCATGATCATTGCAACTCCACGACGTGAGATCTTGCATGGAGCCCCAGGCCGAGGGAGATTGACAGTTCTTTTGTGTTTCTTCCATTTGCGACTAATCACACCAACTACTCTTTGTTTTTTCTCGGTAAAGTCACGTATTAATAAGAAATAATAAAATAACATAATAGCGTACGACGTTTCGGTTGCAACACAAGCAGCCATCATTGGGTACAGAAGAGCTAAATTTACGAGAGAGAGGAAACACATAACCCCAGATGTATATACAGACACTCAAGTAGGGGGGAACTAACACAGATACAACAGGGGACACAAAAAGAGAAGCATACCAAACAGGGTTTAGCAAAATTTGGAAACCATATAAAGCAACACAGACGGTCGGTCAAAACACAATTAACGCATAGTCTGGTTGATTATGCTATTTCAAAGATTGCTAAATTGCAAGTTAAGTATGAAATTTAAAATAAGACCGCGCATACACACATAGACATCCAAGTAGAGCGAACCAGCACAGACGCACACAGTGAAGTCGCCTTAAATAGGCAGAGAAGGTAAGGCTGAGAGACAATGGGACAAATCAGCATGAGGTATGCATGGAGCAAAGGGGGCGCAGCAGCACACACTCGGAAACACCAAGGCCCACACACAGGCAGAGACAGCACAGAGACACAAATCCAAGCCAAGACACAAAGACAGATACACAAGCAGAGACAACACAAAGACACAGACCTCATACCTCTCCGTAGAGGTGGTTCAGACTTGATTCGAAGCTTTCGTGACTGCAGGAATTACTCTTTGGGTGTCTGTATATACATCTGGGGTTATGTGTTTCCTCTCTCTCGTAAATTTAGCTCTTCTGTACCCAATGATGGCTGCTTGTGTTGCAACCGAAACGTCATACGCTATTATGTTATTTTATTATTTCTTATTTATACGTGACTTTACCGAAAAAAACAAAGAGTAATTCCTGCAGTCATGAAAGCTTCGAATCATCACACCAACTATTGTCACCTCACCAAGCTGCTTGGCAATGGTCTTGAAGCCCATTCCAGCCTTGTGTAGGTCTACAATCTTGTCCCTGACATCCTTGGAGAGCTCTGTGGTCTTGGCCATGGTAGAGAGTTTGAAATCTGATTGATTGATTGATTGCTTCTGTGGACAGGTGTCTTTTGTACAGGTAACAACCTGAGATTAGAAGCACTCTCTTTAAGAGTGTGCTCCTAATCTCAGCTTGTTACCTGTATAAAAGACACCTGGGAGCCAGAAATCTTTCTGATTGAGAGGGGGTCAAATACTTATTTCCCTCATTAAAATGCAAATCAATTTATAACATTTGTGACATGCGTTTTTCTGGATTTTTTTGTTGTTATTCTGTTTCTCACTGTTCAAAGAAACCTACCATTAAAATGATCGACTGATCATATATTTGTCAGTGGGCAAACGTACAAAATCAGCAGGGGATCAAATACTTTTTTCCCTCACTGTATATATTATCTTAGCAGGTAAGGACCACTGAGCTATATAGCACTTTTTCAGAAGTGACCTGGCCACAAATGATAGCTCAACGTAGTGGCTATTGTGAAAATTTATAGCAGCCAAATACTCTAAACACATGGTTCTAAATGTGGAGGGGAAAAACCGGAGGACCCGGGGAAAAATCCACACGACCACGGGGAGATGTACAACAGGCATCGGTCGGCGTCCGGGATCAAACCCACGACCTGCGCGTGTACATCAAGCGAGACGAGAGATAACATTTCCTCTCCAACCGTGATGCCCCCCCCACCCCCCCCTTCTCATCCCGGCCACAGGTGATCCTCGCGCAGTGTGCCACGTACCTGGCCCGCGCTCCCAAATCGGTGGAGGTGTACGCGGCCTACAACCGGGCCAAGACGAGCGTGCGGTGCCACCGTGGCCCGCTACCGTCGGTTCCTCTGCACCTGCGCAACGCCCCCACGGGGCTCATGCGCAACCTGGGTTACGGGCGCGGGTACAAGTACAACCCGGCCTTCGACGCACCCGTTGAGCAGGAGTACTTACCAGAAGAGCTGCGAGGCACCGACTTTTTCAAGCCGTCCTGAGCGCGGCGACGATCTAAAAAAAATCTGAAAGCCATCGCTGCAGCGGCGGTGGCATTATAGGGTTGTTTCCGCTTCGATTGCTTGGCCAGAGGTGTGAAAGTGCTGCCCCCACTCCCCCTACTATGTGGGGGTGGGGAGTGAAGAGATCTCGGAGGTAGCTCGGTGGTGTCCGCTTCTGTGGGCCTTTCGTGCATTGCTCTGCGAGAGCTCTACATGGGTTACTTCGTCTCGTGACGTGATGCCGATAGCGCAATCGGGATTAAATTGACGAGAAACATGCAAAGTGAGTCACCATCGTGAATATGTAGCATCTTTTTGGAAATGGTTCCATTCAGAATTTGGTGGACAGTTCCTTTTTGCAAACGCACGAAATTAGGCCCCATTGTTGGGGCAAGGGGTGTTACGCTGAGGCTTTCAAACTAAGAATGTATGTGAAATATGAATACTGATATGCCTTTTAGGAACGTAATGGTTCACCCCTCACGATTAAATAAGGTGTCACAATTGATGGTTCCAACTCATCTGTCGGCTAAAGGAATATAACCATCTATTTCTTTATCCGACTATGGTGGATGTAGGATGTATATCAACCACAGGGTGCATAATATCACCGATGATATAGCCTCTGCTGGATGAAGGTTTTCTCAGGTCGACCCCATCTCTTGTGTTCTCACGCAATGCATCAATCCGTCCAGCACCGACGCTTGTGCGGATTCTATCACTCCCATCTCCGTGGGGGACTTCCTCTTGGGTGTTGCTCACTTCTTTGGCTGCCATTCCATTCTCGGTCTCAACCATCGGCCATCATCTCTTACAGCGGCATGTCCTGTCCAAGCTCATCTTTCTTCACTATGTAATTTTTCTCATTTGTTTCCTGATTCATGTGTTCCTTTTTCTGTCTCAGTGTAATTCCACGCACGTCTCTCTACGCTGCATTGCACACTTCTCTGCTGTTCCCTTTTATTCGCCAATGTCCATGCTGCTTCGGATCCACACCTCCGATTAGCACGATAGGCTACGTATGGTGCGAAAGAAGTTCAACATACATGTTATACTATAAAACAGTTTTGCTGGCTGGCAGGAGGGAGGGACGGACGGACTCGCTGTCTCATTCATTTGTCGTGTGTGTAAATTACAACAAAGTATTCAATAACACTTTGTGTGTGGCCTTTAAAGGAAAAATATTGAAAAGGGAACGTTTCGGGCAATGGCCCTTCACGGCACATAAATAGAGAGGCCAGAAGAGAAACATGACAATGATAACGTCTGCTATTGATTAAATTTGGCACTAATTAGTAGTCAGTGATTTTCTGCTCAGTACATCACTCAGGTGCTCATCAACTGAATAATACTTCCCTGACCCAGTGATAGAAATTTCACATTTCTATGGAAGAGGTGAGTCGCATTACACAACCACTGTTGACTTACCCACAACTACTTTGTTGAACTTTGGGGGATGATTGACGGAGTCAACTCCCACAACCAGGATGTGATCTTGCAGTAATCCTCTTGCGAGCCACTATGCCACTAAGCCACCTGGCCAGACTACGAATTGTAAAATTAGATAACATTTTTTTTATTATTATATATTGTACACACGTTATACAATACTCTTTGTTTTTTTCGGTAAAGTCACGTAGGTAAAAAAATAAAAATATAAAATAAATTAGAATGAAAACAAACGTTATACAATGTCTGCTGGGCTATGGACATGAGTTTAAAGCTTCCTTAATGAGAGCAAGATGTTAACGTTGGTCAAGCGTGTTATGGCACTTGTGATGTCGCTGGGACGATTCCTATTAGAGTAATGTGTCCCCTCTACAAATTACTCATGAGATTACACAGCGCAATCATCGCCCTCGACTTGCAGACGTAATACCTGCTTACAGGCCAGATGCCGAAACACATTGTGCCACAAAGGTGACAACTGCCACTCAACGGGACACATTTCTTAAAAAAAATTGAGATGTGATGCAAGTTGCCTCGTTGCATTGAAAATACCCTGAGATGACCCGGTGTAAAGGGCGTTTCGATAACAATTACTCCGGAACCCAAGGGCTGGTGATGTGAAGGCTGTAGCCAGAGGTTACGCGATGGAGTGGCAATTGTTTTGCTTCATCATATTATACAACTGCAGATTTGCACTTTGTTCACGTTTAGCAGCAATTATATGTAAGCATGGGAATGCCGAGTATTTTCCATTTTCACATTACTTCTGATACATTTCACCCCCAAAAAGTGTTATGTTATGAATGTTTAGCAATTGTATATTTTATGAATTTTAAAATGTTACTGTGTTGGTCCATTTTTTTTAAAAACGTGTTTATGTTTCATTTGACGCGTGACATTTCAACGGAGCAAAAAACACGATAATTACTGTTGGTTGATTGGGGTCATTAATCGCACGAGCATTACCAACTTTTTAAACTATGTACACTTGGCAGTAAAAATGTATTTATATATATATCTCTCCTGTGCATTCCTTGTAAATTATATACCAATGAAAACAACTTTCCCATTTTCAATGAAATGTTATTAGACTCGTGCAGTGTTGTGTGCATCAAAGCAAGATATGTAATGATTTCCATTTTTGTTGCAAGGGATACCTGATTTATCTTCAATTTTCTATCATAAGACAATCCAAAAAAATGTTGCGACGTGCGTCTGATTGTCTATTACTAGTTCCCAGATTTCGAACACAATTTTGATCAAAAGCATGTTTCATGTCGCTGCCCCAAACTTTTGGAACCAAGTCTTTTCGTCTCTTGGCATCTTCATTCTGCCATCTCTTGTCATTTATACCAACTACTGTATTAAACTCACAAAAGTTTAAGTGAAATGTCATTTTCCGTAATTATTGTTAGTTTTTTTTTGAAAAAAATCTTTAACTGTGGAAAGCTGTGATGTCTGCCACCGAGTCGCCCCTGAAAAAATGCCTTGGCTGAATGGGCTTTCCTCAGGAAATGAACTTCTGATTCTGAATACTATTTTTTTTTTTACTTTACCTCGGTAAGGCCCACTGAGCAATGTAGCTATTTTTCAGAAGCGACCTGGCCACAAAAGATAGCCCAACGAAGTGGCTTATGTGGAAATTTTGAGCAGTCAAATACCCTAAACGCATGTTCATTCTAAATGTGGATGGGAAAAAACCGGAGGACCCGGAGAAAAATCCACACGACCACGGGGAGAGGGACGCGCAAATATACACGCGGCAAAATCTGGATGGAACCGGCGACCTCCTGTATACCGGGCGAGGTAGTTAACATCTCGCCAACGCAGGAAATGGTCTTAAATATAGAAGTGAAATGCATCCTCGTTACCACCAGCCATGCCCTTATCCACTGCTGGATGAAGGCAACACTTGAAATACTAATTGGGTCAAGGAATGCATTGCGAAGTGGGTTGTGCTTGTGGCTCTCGAGAAAAGGTGTTCCCGTAATGCAGCGTACCAGCAACATTTTATTTGTCACAATTGTACTGCTCATGTGCATGGGATTATTGAGTTGTAACGTTTTGCTTATTGAAGAAGTGTTGAAGGGATTGGTTGCTAGTCAACAGCTAAGGGGCCGTCCATAAATGACGTCACGCGATTTTTGACGATTTTGACCCCCCCCCCCTTTGTCACGGCGTCACAAAAAGACCCCCCTCTAATATGACGTCACAAAGCTCTACCCCCCCCCAAAAAATATATGTAAAACATGCTTCAAATAGCTTTAAACTATTGTCATTGTAGTGCGTATTTAATGTGGCGCTGCACTCTGATGTGGAAAACATTTATTAAAACGTCTATTTAATTAAGTAGAACGTGTTGTCCATATATATTTAAAGTTGCGCATTTTGATGTGACGTCACATTTCTCACCCCCCTTCTCGTCACACATCGTCCAAATGTCTGAACCACCCCCAGGTGTGTGACGTCATTTATGGACGGCCCCTAAGTTCATATGCCAAGTAAAAAAATGGTCATCACAAAACATGTTTTTTTTATGTTCTCATCGGGACTAATGTCCAACTCTAGTTATCCACGCTGTCTCTGGCCTTGCTGTTTTCGCGATGGGAGTTCTCGATGTTTGCGTGAAGACGTCACCACGTAGCTACGCATTCGAGCGTAACTCATTACCCGCGTGGGTGTGTGGGGGGAGGGGTGATATGGCCTGGCACAAGCGTCGTGGTGACGTCACCGCCACTTAGTGGCGAATGGCGGTTGTTGTTGATATGGTGACACGACGTCACCGGGGCGGGGGGGGGATGTGCGGCTTCGATCACGCCAACGTCTCGGAAAGCCACGAAGGCGTAATTACGTCACGCGACAAAAACCTCAAATTGCCGAGCGCGTTGACGTCATCGCGGGGTGGTCTAAACCTGAGCTCGGCCAATAAGCGCAAGGCGCGATGACGTCGCCGGGAGCGGGCGAGGGGGTGGGGTCTAAACCTGATCTCTCGGCCAATAAGCGCGAGGCGAGACGTCACCGGGAGGGCGAGGGGGTGGTCTAAACCTGAGCTCTCGACCAATAAGAGCGAGGCGCGATGACGTAGCCGAGAGCGGGCGAGTGGGGGTGGGGTCTAAACCTGAGCTCTCGGCCAATAAGCGCGAGGCGCGATGACGTCGCCAAAACGGGGCGTGTCTTAAGCCGGTGGACGGAATCGCCCTCTGGCCCCTCCCTCCTCGCCGCCGAGAGAGAGCGATCATGGCGTCTGTAGCGGACACTCGGTTGTACGAGCTGCTCGGCGTGTCGCCTACCGCCAACGAAGGCGACCTCAAGAAGGTGAGGAGGACTACAGTTCCCCCCGCGTCCGTTCCACCGGGCGGGGTCGCTGGATTCCTCTCCGCCGGCCGCCTTTTTTTTGTCTCCCGAGCGATGCGAGTCGCCGACTGTTCTAGTAAAGTCTTTTCCTTTACACCCCCCCCCCGTCGGTGAGGGAAATCGGCGCGTTGCCACTGGTCGGCGCGCGTCACGAGGGCGATATGCCTTTTCGCTATTGGCCGCGACGCATCACGTGATGGCGAGGTGGGGGTTTGGAGGCATTTCCCCCCTTCCCCCCTTTTCAACATGGCGAATGCCCGGCATTTGACGACAGGGAAACTAGGCGAGGGCAGGCGCCTGCGAGGAGATTAGGCCTCGCCGCGCTGGTGGTTTTAAAATTATTTTTTATTTAATCGAGTTATGGTTGAGGAGATTAATTGAGATACGAGTATAAGACTTGGAGTTTGTCGCTGTTAGGGTTGTCTTGTACCAGAATTATAAGGGAGGGGGGGTTTCCCTCGCCCACCCAATGCGGTCTTTGTGTAAAATACCGAGCATGTGATACAGTATATAAGTATATTTTTTACAATGTATCCCGTTTTCAAATATGTCTAGTGTCAAACGTAATGTTTAATTTAGTGTTACATTTACATAGTGTATCGACAATTTCTTTAGAATCGCATGCTCTTGCAGAATTTTAAGAGTAACGCGCGACCACACTTTGTCAATCCACTGCTGGATGAAGGCATCCAAGCGCCGTGGTTGGTAATGGTGATTCTTTGACCATACTTCACCGCGCTGGTCAATGTGGGGGGGTGGGGATGCAGAACCGGTTCAGATATCACTCGCCACTGCATTTTATCCGAAGACCTGGAATCGAACTCTGCTCGACAGGTTTTTATTGCAGCGGGCTAACCACTGCGTGGACGGCACCATCACGATATAATTTACAATACATGTACAATATTTATTTTTTCAGTAGGTTGCTTTTGCAATACCATGGTGATTGTATAGTGTGCTGAAACGGGAAATGAAAGTGTGTATTGTGACGCAAGCTAAATTATCACCATCTCTTGAGTCAATAGGGGTTTTATCTAGTCTTTCCAGACTTAACAAACTCGCGTTAAAACAAAAATGTATATCTGTCTCGTCGTACATGGTGTCACTTGCATTGAGTGATTAACTAGGAGACATTCAGATATACCCCCTGCCTTAATTCCTGTAGCCGCGTGTCTCTTGTTCCGGTAATTGTAATTTTCTAACAATCTCCAGGAACACGGCGTTCTCTGTGTGGCATATACGTAACCGCAAGACATAACCACAGCCAACGATGACTCATACGTAGGCTGAGAAGAGAGCACAGAATACAAATGCCAAATGCAGCTGATATCTCCCTAAAAAAATAATGGATAAGACTGTCGTGCCCCGCATATTTGTTGTTTAGAAACAGTCTTATGTACCCAACTCCATAAAGCTTAACCATAACCCAACACTTAAACACAATTACCTAACCGTAAACCCTTAGAATCGAACGATTAACCCAAACTCCTAACCCTGAAGCCTAAACCCATACAACCTTAAGACGGACCGTAAAACCCCCATCACCGAACATTCACTCCGAAGCCCGAATCACTAAACCCGAATCCCTTAACCATACTTGAAATTTAAATACTAGGCTCTCCTTTGTATTTCGATCAACTGAAACCCGAGGAAGGTCTGCGAATGGTCTAATTTATGGTCTATGGTTGGATATCTTTTAGGGGCGGTAGTCTCTTGATTAAATAATACCCGTTCAAAACTGGTGATGAATACGGAGGGTTTTGCAACAGTTTTCTGTCCATTGCCAAAGGGATACTTAATAACCTTACCATGTTTATTTATTTGAGTTTATACGGAAGTATCTGAAGACTGAAAGGACGGGTGTACATGTGATATACGTGTACAACCATTTTGTAATCCACTGCTGGATGAGAGGGCCTCCCCCACACTGGGTCGGGTGGGGGGGGGACTCTGTTGGTGAAGGTGGAGAGAGCATCGACGTGGGATCACAGTAAGGGTCAAACAATGGAATTTCACGAAACGTGATTTATTTTATTTTATACCTACGTGACTTTACCGAAAGAACCAAAGAGAATGGAATTTGATTCACTACTCTCTGCTGCCCACCCCATTGTTCTGCAGCACCCTATAGCAACCTGTTGTTATGCAGCCTCGTACCTGCGCTATGAGATGGGGTGCATCCCATGTGATTTTGCGATACATAAGCAATGTATTCATAATGTATGTAAAGAGCACAGTATCTCATCTCAAGAATGGGTAGTGGGAGGTAAAACCGGGTTAAAGATGAAATAAGGTATCGTTATATTTCTCAGTCTCCCATCAGTTTATGGGCTGTGAACAGCACATGTGCACCTCTGTCGGGGTTGCAATGCGTTTGCATTCCCCGTGTGCTCAGCGTTCCACGGCAAGTGAAATGCGCTCTTTGTTTGGCCTAGACCTGCCCTTACTGTTGCCGTGGTTTGTTTGATGAAGGACCGTGGCATGGGTTTTTTGTTGCCGTGGTTGTATTAGTTCAGCCTGGGTGACTAACGTCTTCCTGGATACAATGCTTACATTTTATCTAAAGTAACGTGTTTTTTTTAAATCACCCACCCCCAAGTACATTTCAGTTGTGGTATGTCATGCGATGGAGATTTCTCCATCGCCCTGTGTCATATAATGGCCCCGGAAGATAATGTTCCAAATGTAGTTTTAAGATCACTTTTATCTTGGCCTCGTCAGGTCACATTTTGTATATGCCCTGACGGAAAATGTGAATTGCATATCACTGAAACCAAACTTTTGAAGTTGGTGACTGGGCTGTGAACATCAATTCGCTTTCAATTCAAAACCTAGTTTAACCCTAATTCAGTCTACGTGAGTCTGTGCGTCTCTGCGAGACTTGGCTGAGATAATGAAATCACTTGCACTAAGGGGCCCATATCAATCATCGGTTTCTTCCTGGATTTTAACCAAGTGTTCTAAGGTCATTACTCTGAATTTGAGCCACCTCAGGTTACCTTAACTTGCGCAGAGGCCACAGCATATACATCACCATAAAAAGGTAGGTTTTGTCCTCAAACAGGAGAATGTCGTCAAGGGTTGTATGAACAGGGGATATGTTAGGGCAGTGGTCTTCATAAATTTTCAGATGGGGGCTACTTTCGCCAATAAGACATCAGTGTGAGGGCCGTCACATTTTAAACCATTGGGTTTGACAGCATGATGGGGGTGTTTTCCCAATTGCGTATTTTCGGGGACCGTACGTCAGGGGCCACACTAAAGTCCACCGGGGCCCGCCAGTTGCCCGCGGTTTTTGCAATGAAGAACACTTTGTTAGGGTGAAGGTTTGTTAAGAATGCAAGAGGTGAGGAAATGTGGAGCCAACAGGCTCAATGTACAGAGGTATCAATTTTGTCTCCCGCGCAAATGAGAATGGAACAGTGCTCATCTGTTTACATTGCTGATCCAGTGGTGGAATCTATTCATAGTCGGACCATTTCCCTTTCCATTGCCTTACCACATGTTATTGCGAACTTGTTTCGAACGTCCAGTGAAGCTCATGTTGTGTGCATATGTTTAGCATAATGCGAGACATACGGAGTCTGAAGACTCTTTGAGGTTCCTGCATTTGGTTATTTGGCCAAGAAACCAGGTTTTCCAGAGTAAACCCACACAGTTAAGAGGGTAAACTATGCTTATTGTTAGGTCCTGGTGGCTAATTATTCAGTGCAGTGGTTAATTTTACTTATTCTTATTTACATTGGTAGCTTAGTTGAATAGACAACGTATATCCTTTTCACCACATTCACTGCACGCTATTGATTTTAATTTTCAATGAGATAGTCTTTGTTTGAATCACTATGATGTGAACACTAACCCAAATTTGAAGCCAGTTCTGGCTCTTGGATCGGTAATCAGAAATGTAAGTCTATAGATTGAGAACAGTGTGGTGTTAATGGGAAGCTTTGCCTTTGGTTGATTGTGGACGTGTTAGTCCATGTTCCTCAGTCCTTTATAAATCCAGGAAGTTCTCATTGAGCCTCAAGACCCTTTAGAAGGATCCTGCATTGGAATGTTGGCCAAATTCACCCCCATTTTAAAGGAGTTGATGCTTGAGGAAGGAAACTGGACTACCTTGATAAAACGTGCTACGCATGTGACGCCTTTACGACCCATTTGCTGCACGCACTTTTAAGTGCTCTTCACTTGTAGGAGAAAGTGTCAGAGTTGGTTTACTGTTGCCCTTAGGCCAGAGCCAGGGTGTCCTTGCAGGGATTAGGAAGGACTTGTCCAAATAAAGTGCCTGAGATACAATACAGTAGTAGGTAATGATGACTATTTTGTACTGATGATTTAAAACAAGCATGAAATTGATGTACTGTTCTATTTTTGTATGGACGCTTCTGTTTTAAGAGGCCACAACTTGTACTCGTTTTTGTGTGGGTGGTTACAAATGCAGTGAGGCAATTGTCACGTGGCAACGCAAGGCATGATGGGAGGACCGGTCCTGCACCCTTTTCTATGGGACGTGTTTCCCATCCTTTGCATACTGTAAGAATTGGATTATGGTCCACCAATCCTGGCCTTGACAGCAATGTATAGTAGTGCAGGTGTGTGTTTGTGTGAAACCACAGATGAGGTAGCTGGATTTTTCCGTAGAAAAAAATAAAATCACGAGTTCCAACCGATGTGTGCTTCTTTGTTTCGTTGGCAAATAAACCTAAGCCTCAGCTTAATTAACAGTGTGGATGTACGTAACCAAGGCACCTAAAATGTCTGCTTTGTTTAACGTGTAAAACACTGCTTCAAACAACAAAACAAGTTTCCTTGTGTTTAGATGCTTGCGCAATGCATATCTGCAGATCGACATTCCTCACTGGTCTCTGCTTGTAATGTTGACAGGCGTACAGAAAGCTCGCCAAAGAATACCATCCAGACAAGAATCCTGATGCTGGAGACAAGGTAAGATTTTTGAACTTCTTGGAAAGAACCTAAAAAGCAAAGAAGTGCTTTCCTAATGCTTTAAAACTCTGATTGAAAGCATAAACAAAATACAAACTCTATCTGTCCATAACAGTGGTCGTGATATTTTTGTAAAGATGATCCATTATACGGTAAACTTGAGGTTACAGTTGTGTTGCTGTAAGGGTTTGACTAGAAAAAGAACTGCTCAAATTGATCAAAATGTTGGCTGGAATTTGGCTATTAAAAAGAGGGCTAAAAATATAAGCCTTATTGACTAGGGCGATGACGTGACATGTCATTTTGCCATGTGACATCTCATGTTAAGCTTGGTTCATACGTAATCGCTAATTGAACACTTCTGAGAATTACCCCATGTTGGAAAGTGTTGCAGAAGCCATGTGCATACTGTACCTGACTTGACTTGCTTGGTTATTTTAATATCAAAGCAGCGTTGACCCTCGTCACTGCGCCCGTAAATCTGCTCCTGTAAATTAAACTGCAAATCAAAAAACCTGACGATTGTGACGTCGAAAATTCCTAGTGTCGCTCCGATTTGGTTTGCTTCGTATGGCTGTCTCCCACAATCCACTGAGCCGCGGCATCGCTGTTGTACCGGCTCCCACAATCATGAAAATAATAATTTTGATTTGTGTAACTTAACACTATAATTCTCTCTGGACTTTGTCCAACAACGACTTTTTTTCCATCAAATAATACCGACGACACATCAAGTATTGCAACTTGGCACACAGAACAGTAAAATTAATTCGAATAAAAGTTTTGATTAAATGGCCAAACCAAAACACAGTCCGCGTGTCATGATGACATAGCAGTGTTGCCAAGTTGAGTGGTGCCCTGAAAAAAATACTTGGTAATTGGTGCTGGCTTCACTTGACAGTCCACAATTTCGTTGAATAATTTCTCCCAGCTGGGCCTACAAAAGATGAATAATAACCCTTAATTTAGGTAAATCACCTATCCAGTTTTTCCAGGAACCCCCCCCCACCTCCTTTCTAAGCTTTGTATGAAAATAAACAGCGGGTCATACCTTCATTGTTTCAACTAGAGGACACTATCCAGAGTTATGTGATGTTGACTTTGAGACAGTCGAGAACAAACAGTGGGAGTTGTTTGCCTTTGAGATTGTATCTTAAGTCAATGGTAATTTGAGGAAGAAAGTTATTCAGCTTGTGTTCAGTTTGTAGCTTCTAGGTTGTCCGAATTGTTTGCATTGCTTATATTAAAATGCAACATACAAAAACAATAAGGCTTTTCTTGTAGCTGGACACCCTAGGCTTTGCATCCTGACAGCAGTGGATAGATTACCCCTGATTATTGATTATTATGATACATGCTTAATAATACTTCAGTGTGTCCCATATTCACAAAAATGTTTTTGCACAAGGCACTTTCACGGACAGGTGTAACCTGTGATGTTACAATGTCATTTTTCCCAAATACGTATTTGGTGGTTAATTCTCCACACGTGGAAAATTTTAACCATAACACCAAAAAGGCTTGTAGCCAACTAGTTTTTTTTTCCCATGGGTTATTTAACATCGACCACAAAGAAAATACTTACGCTTAATACACGCCCAGCATTAACCTGGTCGGCCATACGGCTCGAACCACAAAGCTCTGCAACGCGCCACAAACACGCGCTAGCACTCGGGCAATCGTCTCCCCAGTTTGCGTTTCTTAATGTTCACGTTCTTCCTGACTAATTTGTTACTTAATCTTTTCATCCCTCCCCGTCTGTCTTGCCCCACCGGGCGTCGTTCCCCTACGTAAACCAGTTCAAGGAAATCAGCTTCGCATACGAGGTGCTCTCGAACCCGGAGAAGCGGGACCTGTACGACCGGCATGGCGAGAAGGGACTGCGCGAGGGTGGCGGGGGCCCTGGCATGGACGACATTTTCTCGCACATATTCGGCGGCGGCCTCTTCGGCGGATTCATGGGGGGTGGCGGCGGCCGCGGGGGCCACCCGGGCGCGGGTCGCAGGAGGCGTGGGGAAGACATGATGCACCCGCTCAAGTAATCCTCGATGCCGATGCGCGACGAATGTGTTTCCCGTTCAACTAACGACGTCGTGGTTAATCCCGTTATTTAAACACGTAGTTGAATGCGCGCAAGTAATTTTAACCCGCTGTGCTTTATCATTTATTTAATCGTGCCGGGTAGAATTTACTGAATTCTGTTCTCTGAGAAGCAAAAGTTATCCGGATCTCTCGCAGAGCAGTTGAACCCTTAGTGTTAGAGAACGATCCATGGAAGCGGATATCCGAGAGCTACCTTATTAATACCTTCAATTGACCACCTCTGTTCAGCATAGAGCGCAGTACTCGCCAACCCACTCAGTGGTGTGAGGTCAGCGCTCTGAGCCACTCGGCCACCTGGCAAAACACTGCCTTATCTTGCAAAGTACGTCACAGGTTCTATTACATCCCATTTCACACAGTGGAAGGCTTAATTTGTACAGTACATCACCTATTCACCATGAACAATAATAACTGACATTTATAAAGTGCAATTCATCCAGGGATCTCGGTGTGCCAGGCATGAAGTTAGGAAATATGAATGCTACACTGCCCACACCCAGTGCACACAAGTGCACTATTTGTACATGGTTGTTATTTTGAAAAAAAAATCACACGTCCAACCTTTTCACTGATCTGCCGCGATACCCCAGTCCCCAGGTAGTCGGACACATGTCATTGTACCGTAATTACACGCCATGGAAATTGTAGGGCACTGGCGAGTTGGCTACGTTCATTGAAAAAAACAGCGGTCAGGAAGATTCAGTCGCCACCCATTTGTTTGTGTTAAGCTTCTATCTTTTCTTCCCTTCCCCCGGTATCCACACAGGGTGTCCCTGGAGGATCTCTACAATGGGAAGACAACCAAACTCCAGCTGAGCAAAAACGTCATCTGCAGCGGCTGCAGCGGGTTAGTTTGTGCCCCACGCTGTGAGGTTTTGAGTTTCGCGGTGCCGCGTAGAGCTTTGTGGCAGCGATCCACATGCCTGCGCATGTACGTACGTTGAACTTCTTTCGCACCGCCGTAAGTAGCCAGCCGTGCTTCGTCGGGCGTGTGGGGGAAGGACAACGAACTAAACACAAATAGCAGTTCTAAACAAATGTTATTTTTTTTAAAATGAAGATTTAAAAGTGCATAGCCCCAGTGGCTTCCTAATATGGGAAGGAAGAGCGTTCCAGACGGCCGCAGAAAGCATCTGAAAGAGCACGATTCGGTGACTGTCTTTGTTCGATGGTTAGCCAAAAGCCTCTGCGAGCATGACCGAAGTTTGTGTGATAGTTTATGCTCCTTGAGATCAGCAAGGTATCGCGGTTCATTTGCTGCAAGCACTTTGTAATGAGTGCAACGTTGCAATGTATTTGTTCAGTAACCTGAAGCCAATGCAGCTCAGTGGGCACTGGTCTCGTGTGCGAAAAATACTGCTGTGGAGGTCTGCCTGTGGCGAGTGGGTGCATGAGTGTTTTTTTTAGAATTGTGCAGATAAGGATTTGACAATAGATTTTTGCGGCAGTGCCCACTGCTTGCCCGTGGCGTTTAACCCCCACTCGGCACAGTGGTTGCTTATCTGTGTATTACCAGGGTTCAAGCTGCTTAGCTTCTGCGATCTGGGGAGATTGGATGCCTTATGCGTGTATTGAGCAAAGGCCTCAACGTATACCGGACGGTGGTGGCACATGCCTGTAATTCAGCACAATGTTTGTATGTTGAACTTCTTTCGCACCGTACAATGCCAACTATGAAGGCGAGAGTTAGTGCCATCACACTAATGTTGTGAAATTCCCTTTGCGTGGGCTTCAAGGTCCATACCCTAGCCGTCCAGGCGGTACAGCCAAGTGTGGACTAATCTCCATCTGTTCACTCTATACGAGATGTTGTTACCCCCTTACTATGGTTGGGTTTTTTGCCGAGTGCTCCAAATTTTCTCCTGCATGTATAAATACTCATTAATTGGCTGAAAAAATCTGAATGTATAGAGGACTGTAGAGCTTGGATAATTGTTTTGCCGGCTCACCGCTTGGCTGCTGCCTTTTGCTTGTCTGTGGTTCCTGGTGCCTTCGAGTCTTTCTGTCTTGGACAGCGAGTAAATACTGTGTGCACTATAAGTTGATATATATCTTTATTGTATACTCTGCTATTGTTGGACCCGAACTTTCCAGTTGCCACTAGTACAGTATTGCCAAGAACTATGCAGTTACACTCCACATCGCTGTCTCAGACTGCACAAATCTGTGCACTTGAAAACATCCAGGCCATGCCAAGTATAGTACATTATATATAAACCAGGGAAATATTTTGGCGTTCCCACCACGTGTCACGCACTCGCCGTGAGTGCATCCACCGTCCTTTATCCCGCAGCCGATTGACAAAGCAGGAGCTGTACACTTACACGCGTTAAACCATTTTTGGCTTGCTTCTAACGGGACGGATTTGTTTGTGTGTCACAACTGTTCCGAAGCTAACTCGCGTGCTGGTATTTCACATGCGGTACCCTCGTCACAGGAATGGCTGGCAGGTTAAGCCGCAGCACATACATAGGTTGACATGACTTGCTGTGCTCTCTCCTTACACTGATCACGATGTGGCGAGTGAGCGTTTGGGGTTGGCAGGGGGTATCAACATGAGGCCGTTAAAAGACCCGAGCGCGGTGTTATCAAGCGTTTAGTAGTCCTCGCCTCGCAGTCAATATCTACGCGATTGTTTGGAGTACTGTTTGACGTAGGCAGTCTTGAGATGAGTGAGCGATGGACTGATGCATCGCGGTACCGCGGGAGATTGCCACGGTTTTGGGAGGCCTTTGTTACGGCGTTGTTATTGATCATGACTGGTGATGATACAAGCTGTGAAGGTCACTGCACATAGGAAACCGTATCCGCCTATACATATCTGGTGATGCTTTAATCTCTTTATTCATTACTATTATTGCTGTGCTTAGGAATTGTATCATTCATTCCTCTCCATCTTTGTCTATCCGAGAACCCTTTACATGTTTTCTCAAACATACCAAACACCTAAACAAAACGGCTACAAAATGTATGTTACCTTTCTCCAATACCGTTGTTCAAATCTGTGTAGTTCTTGGGCAAGGTTGTGAATTGAAAGTGTTCTAGAACAAAATTATACGCTGCGTACCAGCGTGACTGCCGTTAAAATGCAAGTGTGTGGGTGTAAAGCTTGTGCACCTCTTTTGTACTTGTGTTGGTAATTTGTTTCCATTGTACATGGAGACTTCCATAACGAGCAGGTTAAATATGATTAAACAAAATAATTTTCATTACTTATCCAGGAAAGTCTCATTCAGTCTCAAGACTTTTTGAGGAGGATCCTGCTACATATGACATTTGGCCAATTCCATGTGATACCAGAGAACCTGTTAATAAAACTACTGTGTATTTTGTCATCTTGAGTCTACTTTGCAATAGACTGAATAATCCACTGCTATCTTGCCTTCGTGTGGCCACCCTGCAGCACAGACATACTACACCTATTATTTCCAGGCAGTTTCTCATCCCAAGTACTGACCAGGCACAACTGTGCTGGAGATTTGGCCATAGGCTCGTTAACTTGTTTTTAACGCTTTGCAACGAAGTTTGAAATTCATTTCTTCATTGTCTGGCCGTCTATTCCGTAATGGGTGGTCACTGCTGGTAATGATGATGCAATGTGAGTGAACCTGCAGTGTAATTTTGTGTTGCTATTTGGGACGTTACCTATAGAAAACCTGCCAAATTTATCCGTCACGTTGCCGAAAAATATTGGAGAGACGAACCAAAGTTATATTATCTGTTTGCAGTTGTCTAATACACAATTTGCCCTGGCAGCAACTGCAGAAAAAAAATGCATATTTGAAAGTGTTACATAAACCATGTGCATGCACGATTTTTTTTTTCCCCCCCAACTTATTTTTTTTTGTCTTAACCTCCATTTCTCATCACCGTCTCCCTACCACCTCCACCATCTTACGCACGCACATACAGCAAAGGCGGCAAGGCTGGTGCTGTGGAGGTCTGCTCCAGCTGCAAGGGCCGAGGGATCCGCGTGATGGTGCGGCAGCTGGCGCCCGGGATGGTGCAGCAAATGCAGACCATGTGCCACGACTGCCACGGGGAGGGTGAGGCCTCCACTACCCCCGGCACACTCTTGGCGCTGTTTTTTTCCACTGCCGCAACAGATCCGCGCCGTGCCCGTGCCCGGCCAGCCCCCGCACGGCTGAGGGACGTGTCGGGTTTATCCACCTGCAGAAGCCGAGCCGTGCATGCTGGCATGGCACACACACACACGATACGATTCAAAATGTATCCGAATTTGTATTTAGACTGGAGGAATCTGAGCTATGAAGCTCTTTTTCCACAGATGTCCATTATGGGTGGGTCAGTATGTATTTAAATTGAACTACTTTTGCACTGTACGGAGGCAACTGTGCTTATCGGACGTGTGGGGGGAAGGACAACAAATTAGACACAAAAAACAGTTCTAAAGAAACGAGTTTTCAATCCAAATTTAAAGTGCATAGCACCAGTGGTTTCGTAATATTGGTTTTGGTTTTGGCTCTGCCTGGCCCGGTAAATAGCCAGTGTAAAACCATTCACACCAGCTGGGGGTTGTGTGCTTAGTAAAAAATGAGGGATCTTTGTCGCGTGCAGTTGTGCACGGGGGCACTCGTTGCGTGCGTTCTTCCTGACCGTTTGTCGCCATCCCCTTACAGGCCAGGTAATAAATGAACGCGACCGGTGCAAGGCGTGCGAGGGCAAGAAGGTGGTGAAGGAGGTGAAGATCCTGGAGGTGCACGTGGACAAGGGCATGCGGCACGGCCAGAAGATCGCCTTCCGGGGCGAGGGTGACCAGGCGCCGGACCTGGAGCCTGGCGACATCGTGCTGGTGCTGCAGGAGAAGGACCACGAGGTGAAAGGGCGCACAGGCTGCCAGGGGCAACGGTGTTGCCGTGGGGCGACTCTGCTGCCGTGGCAACCACGTCACCACAGCGACCACAACACCATCCTCAACCGTGTTTACCGTCAGCCTTTGAACAGTGGTTGGCAACCAGAATAACAAAAATTTAGTGTAAAAAAAAAACGTATTTCAAGTGCCGCAATGCGTGTGCGTAACGTCATGAAGCAGTTCTCGAAGACCCACATGTGGCTCCGGAGCCGTAGGTTGCCGACTCCTAGGCTAGCAGTTACCGGTGGTGGAAGTGTGCTGATGGAAGATGTTTGTGAACAAAATTTACCGTTCATGCCCAGTGTAAAACCTTGCGGGAGTGTGTAAAAAGAGTGGGCCATCTTTAGTAGGTGGGGGGGGGGGGTTGTACGTCAGTGGTCGGGAACCTAAGGGGGGAGAAGAGGACTTGAAGATACTATTGGCCTACAACCACATATTGTAACTCGCACATACCCAGTCATTTATGCATGCACATTTAACTTCTTTCGCACCGTACGTAGCCAACCGTGCTAATCGGAGGTTACTCGCGAGAGGGCCCTTACAATGAGCGAAGTGATTTTAGCGCGTTAAAATTAGAAACGAGTGCTTGATTAGTGCCGCTAAGATGCTTCGCGATGGATAAAAATTGTTTGTGGGTCTCGGGCTGTGTAAAATCAAGTCACGGGTCGTACCTGGCCCCGGTGGGCCTTGGGTTACTCACCCCTATCAGAGAGCAGAACAGGAAGGTATTGTACGTGGGTGTTAACAAGGAAGGCAATCGGCATTTCTGCGAGACATTCAGAGAAAGCACCGTTTTATTTCAAGGCCCTCTATCTCCACATCAACCTCAGTATACTGTTATTTATTTATAAATATGGTTGTCAGTATTGATCTTCAACTTTCCGGTGAGCTTGAAGCAATGACGCTAGGGCACGTTATATGATTGAATGGGTGACAGTTTGATCTGTTCGGCCGTGTCAGTTGGTGGATGATCTTGCGACAAAAATCTGGCCAGATCATTGCTTGGCCTAACCCAAAAATGTATTACGAATCATGGTATTGGATGTGAAAGGCTACTACGTGTTAACTTCATGAAATAAGTTAACACTCCTCTGAAACGTGGAGCTATCACCTTCACGATATTCAGTCGCCTGTTGAGAAGATATAAATAGGGTCATTAGAAATCAGGTGGAGTATTTATCAAATGGTCACCCTGTATAATATCGATGATTAAACTCTAAAATTCCCAAGGTTTGATTCGGTCTATGGTAAAGAAAAAGTATTTCTCGGTGGCTATTCCCTCATTGAGGAATCTTTCATCGCGTTAGATTTGGGAATTAAGTCGTTGCCGTTCACTCCTGAAACTCAAGATCTTACATATGGCCGGCGGTGTGTCATTCGTAGATGCCAGGATGAATCACTACCTGCCTGTTTTTAACGCTTTCTAACCAAGGTTGTCAATCCATTACTTCTGCCCATCTTGTAAAGATGATTCAACAAGAACCAATCTGTAGTTTACAATTGTGTAGATAATTAGGTACTTGCCCGATTTGAAAACGAGGCAAATTGATGAAGGCGTTGCCCAAAACTTTGGAGAAGCCCCCCCCCCCTCCTCACTCACCATGGAGCAAAAATGACTTTGAAAATATGCAACGGTGTTTTAGCCCAAACCGCTACCCGCATCGGCTTGCGTGTCGTTAATTGAAATAATCGGAAGACTGACGAGTGTCGGACAGCGTGAACGCGGTCCGCGAGTACGCGTGTCAAATATCTTTCCCAACTTATATTTATATTATTTTTTTTGCTTGTTCTGACGACGACGACGACGACGATGCATTGTCGCCACGCAAAGGTGTTCCAGAGAGACGGCAACGACCTGCACATGATGAAGAAGATCGGTCTGGCGGAGGCGCTGTGCGGGGTGCGCTTCACGCTGGCGCACCTCGACGGGCGGCAGATTCTCGTCACCTACCCCCCGGGGAACGTCATCCAGCCAGGTGAGGCACCTGCGCGCGATCGTCCGGGTGATAGCACACGCTGTCACCCACTGTTCGCTTGTTCACCCAGCAAGTTCCTCACAAGACATGTAGGTTTCTTTTTAGGGGGGTGTGTGTGTGTGTATGCACGTTGAACTTCTTTCGCGCCGTACGTGGCCAACTGTGCTCATTGGAACAGTAACGGCGGTAGCGGTGATGGGACAGTGCTATGGAGGCAACTGTCGGCTGAATGAGTGAGTGCCGGAAAATAAAACAATCCCTTATTAAAGATAATCTAAATTAAGGTAAAACATAATGTTTGTGCATAAATGAATGCGTTAATGTGAGACCTAGCGTGTTTGGGTTGGCTAATTGTAATCGACTTGGGTTAAGATTATTAAATGGGCTTGGCGAGGACACGTCACCGCAAGGGTTAATGGACGACAATCAAGAAAAAATGCCACCAAGGAGTGGATTGCATCTCGAGAGGACGTTCTGCAGATGAGATGGAGGGAAGAAATTGGCTAGCGTTCAAGTGCTTAATGGATCATTAACACATCGCAGCATAACGAGAGATGTTGTGACAACTCTCGGATGCGTTCTTCCAGCAGTGCATGGGATGGTGGCCGATGACGCTGGTTTTGGTGGTGACTTGTGTGCGTGCAGGCTGCATTCGTGGAATCGTTGGGGAGGGAATGCCCCACTACCGCAACCCTTTCGAGAAGGGAAACCTCTACATAAAGTTTGACGTGGAGTTCCCCGACAAGAATTGGATCGATGGCGAAAAACTGGAGGTGAGGCTGTCGTTCAGGCTTGGCGAATGCACTGGTGCTGTGCCAACTAGGATAGACAATGTGTACCTAAAAAAAACATTCGGATTAATAAAATATTTTGTAACCATCACCTGGCATTGTGTATCTAGGGCAGTTAAAATCTTTTGGATTTTTTATTGGAATGTAAAACTTAAACGGAACGCAGTTAAGCGGTGGCAAAGCATAACCATGCACCGCCATTCACTCCCTCACCCTCCATCACTCTCCATCACCCTCCCTTGCCCACCTTCCTCCTCCGCCCCCCTTGCCTTCTCACCCTCCCACCACCAGCTCCTGGAGAAGCTGCTGCCCGAGCGGCCGACGCTGCCGCGCCCCACGAGTGGCGAGTTCGAGGAGGTGGACCTCCACGAGCTGGAGGCGACGCGCGGAGGGGCCGGAGGCGGCGCCGGGGGTCCCGGCGGTCGGCGGGAGGCTTACGAAGACGGCTCGGACGACGAGGGCGGCTACCAGCAGGGCCCCGGCGTGCAGTGCGCGCACCAGTGACGGGCCACGCGTGCGCGAGCCGTGGGCGGTTGCCCGCGTGCGTGCGTGCGTGCGCGCGCTTTGATAATTGTCACCCATGTGCGCGCGTGAATGCTTTGGCGCTCGTTGCCCCGCGCGTGTGTGTGTGTGTGTGCGCGGTTGCACACGTGCGCGTAGCTTTGTTGGTGCGTTCCTACTGCTAGGCCCATGTGCATTTTGTCGCTGGGGCCCACCGCATTCTGTCGCGCATGGACGTGGAGGCACGCGCAGGCACGCGCGCGTTTGAGCCGGGTTTGTTTGTTTTTGTCTCGTGTGAAGCTTTTTTTTCCCGTTTTGTCCGGACAATGGCGCTCGGGGGAGCCCTCCTGACCGTGAAGCGTGCACGCACGCGCACGCAAGTGCGGTGGAGGTGAAATATCGAACCGCGCGTGTAGCTATTCCTCCCCCACCCCCCCTCTTCACCACACACCCCCTTCCTCAATAAGTCCACCTGCTTGTTATTAATTTTGTTAAATCCCTAAAAGCATCGTCGCAGCACAGTTTTCTCCGCATTGTTTTGTTCGACTAGGCCAATTCCCCTTTCGTTCGATTCTGTGTGTGTGTGTGCGTGCGTGCGCACGCGTGTTTGTTGCAGTGATGTGTACAGTGTTAAGGAGCCTTGCTTTACCAGCCCCCGCGGCTTGCACGATTGGTAAACCAAGTTGGGTGCGTCACTCTCCATGGGACGCCACCAAGACGCCCTTCACGACTCTCCCCCCCCCCCTCCCCCCAAATTATCCGCAAGCGACCGGTTCAGGTCTATCATCTTCAGAGATGGGCTCAACGCGAGTACATTCAACACCCGTCATCTTGTGGCGGCAGTGTGTATCCTTGCCTGTCTTGGGTGCAAATTGTTTCTGTTTAGCCACGCCCGTTTTTTGCGTGTTTGTGTGTTGGACTTGTACGCGTTCATTTGGCTCAACTGTGATTTAGTTGTTCGCGCAGCCTCGTCGTTTGTATACGTGCTGTGGGTTAAAGATTAACGGACGAGCGGACGTGGGGAAAAAAAAACAAACCTCCCGTGTGCAGAAGAAGCGTTGAGAAAAGGTCGTTGGCGTCACTTTGCAGCTCACTGCGCCGTCGGTACGTTGAAAGGTCACCTGCCCCCCCCGCGGTTTGCGCGTGTGACGCGGCGTACGTTTGTCAGGCGGCGTGGAAACGTGATCACTCTCTGGGTGTAGGGGTGGCGCGCGGGAGCAGCTTGTACAGACGTTTGACCAACGCCGATCAATTGGGGAGCACGCGTGATGGAAGCGGAAACTAAATTGTACAAAATTTCAAGTGGAGGAGATGCCGCGTTGCATTCGCGGTTGTTTTGTTAGTCATCGGTCAGCAACTTGTAATTTATCATGCTTGCTTGGTCCCATGGGGATAGCAAATAGTTTGCCTTCCTCTCGGCTGCTTACTAGTTTATTGCTTTTGTCATCGTGTAATCGCATGTTAATTTAATTATTTCACTCAAAGTTGCATAAGTGGTGTAAAAATAAAACGTTGAGTATAGGCAAGTGTGCTTTGGCGGTAACAAGACCCACACGTACAGTCGCGCGGCAAGCACCGGTGGGTTTAAATAGTAGGCCATGAACATTACCCATACCCCCCAAAGTGCGTGTAACCCTTAATCAGTCCTAATTTATTACTGTCGTATCTCATCTAACATGAAGAGGCAACGCTGCTTCGGGTCCTTCCCCCCCCTCCCCCCCCAGCATTTTCTGCGCCATATTTTTTTGGAGTATAACCGGTCAGCAAGTTGGCTTGGCGAACAGCTGTGCTTGCTATCGCGCGCCAGCGCCCGGGATGTTCTGTCCCAGCGAACGACGGATCATGAGGAAAACCTGACCAATGTATCCGGGCCTTGTGGTGTCGTTTGGGTTAGTGATGTGTGAGAGTTTGACACTGATGTGATGACAATGGTATTGGTGGCAAGGGGCCTCCTCTGTCCTCTCCAACTTCCCCGTTTCTGTCGGCAATGCTTTGCGTTTAACGTCTAATCATAAATACATTTTGTCGTGCCTATTTAACACGCACGGTATGCGTTTGGCTGCACGTCTAAGACGGACCCATTTAATTTCATTTAGGGTGGAACCCTGTCAAAATGAAAGCCCCACCCCCTCGTGAATGTCACAACAGTGTCACAATTAAATTCTAGTTTCCTGCCACTAACCCAAAGGTTTATTACCGTTGTATCTCATCTACAGTCATTCAAGTCTGATTGGCAGTTGCAATATTTTCATGTAGTTCTCTATTAAGTTTATGCTATAGTATATATTGTTTGCCATTCTTTCCCTGCCCAGGACGGTTCTCCAAAGTAATGAGTGGTCACGGGAACTCCTATTTTGACAGTGAAGCCTTGTAGCATCGTGCGTGGTCTGTATCCGATTGAGCCCAATTGTATATGCTACATCGTGTCCATGGTTTTCTTTTGTTCACACTGATGGAAAACAAGATGGTTTTTCTTTCTTTCTCAATAAACACGTAACTGAACATTACCCGTGACAACCCCAAGTAGTGTGCGTTCCTTGATATGCTGGCTGTAACACATGCGCGCACCGTCTTTGATGCAGTGTTTTGAAACGCAAGGTGTTGGTTGGTGAAGAGCACAGATTTGCGAAAACTCACAAACTCGATGGGACTTGCAGGGTGGCTCGGAGATAGCGGTACAGCAAGTGGGTATGTATGTATGTTGAACTTCATTCGCACCGTACGTAGCCAATCGTGCTAATCGGAAGTGTGGGCTAAAGACAAAGCAATGGAGGACAACTAATGTATGGTTTGGTTTCAGTTCTCCGGTTACCTCTCAAAGCAAAACGTTATTTTAAAAAGGAATTTGCCCGAGCCGACTTTCGGTCTGGGGAAATTAACGTTTCCAAATAATTTGTATTTCTCCTGTGGCGATGACGCAATTGTGTTTGCCATGTTTCCTATTTGCTTCATTGCTCTACTCTTAATTAGTTTGTATTTGTCATTTGTGGAGACCCAGGTCACACTCCCAAATAAGACTATATAATATCCTGGTCCTCTGGGGTTATTACCTGGTTCATAAAAAAAATAAACTTGACTTTATAATCGGCTTCTTGTTTCTTGAGTTTAACGATTCGGTTTTCTGGTGAAGTTTAAATCGACCCGACCGCAGCTTTGCTTCTTTCTGATCCGGCTGATTTTTCTTTTTAATACAGGAAAACTTATTGAAGGCGGGGACCGATTGATGCGGATAGCGTTTCCGGATCTGTCGACGTCTGGCATACCATAAATGTCTTAATGTATACGTGTTGTCGTCCTTGTCCGCACATCCGATTAGCGCGGTTGGCTATTTGCTGTGCAAGAGAATATCAATATTCATCACAGGATCACGAGAGGTGGCAGTGGATTGGAGAAGCCTTCATCCAGCAGTGGATTGATCATGTCCGATTACTAATTATCACGCTTGTTTTCCCACAAGTCTTGTCGAATCTCGTGACTTATGTTCAGGAGGGTGTCCTGCCAATGTTTCACAATAGGGCGGGAGTGGGGAGCAATGCTTTCTCTGCACAGGTTTCCAATTTAGTATTTTCATAGACAGCCTATTTCTATATAATTTTAATCAGGGTTTGTCGCTGGATTACAACCGCGAACCTCTGCAATAAGGCCATGTCGCCAATAAGTGATATTTCGTATAACTGATGGCATTGTTATAGTACGTATAAACGTAGACAATTATAGTACGCCGCACATTGAACAGGTTCCTGCAGGGTGGGCTGGTAGGACAAGTCTCTGCGCTGTCTATTGCTGATTTTACACCCAACAGCACGAGATTTCACTTCGTTAAAGTATTGAAAGGGGACGGACGGACACATTAATCTCTATTGCAGGCTGGTACACTCAGTTTACAACTTTGTTCCTACCAGTATAACCGAAAATGCCATCCGCATCAATCCGGCTTCGAGGGGGTTTTCCCGTAAGATTTGTTTTTCCCCACCAGGTCCGAAAGCATCGGAATCCGTAAATTTATATTGGAGGAATCCGAGCTCCAAAGCTATTTTTTTCACATGTCTAGAAGAAGCAAAGCAGTGCCCGTGTCCACCGGTCCACCACAGTCACATGAAGTGTCGAACGCCCTCTGGCAGGAGGTCACGGGACAGACCCAGCAGGTGCCATGGGTCGACTGACAGATGACTTGCCGATTCAGCATGTGTCACAAACATCCACCAAAGACAAAGAACCCCCGTATAGCCTTAACAGACTGTAGGGGCAAGTGTTGTTAGCGAGCACCTATAAAGGCCGGCACGGCACGAGGGGGTGGGTGGACAACACCACGCCCGGCCGCCTTTGTCTCCCCAGTGGCGATGTTTACACCGCACCAGGTACTCATTTGAGGCTTAGGCGACCTCGGGGAAGCCCAGAACCGGGTCAAATAATCGAACCCCGGTTCGCCAGGTTCGTAGCGCAGCGCGCTAACCGCTACACTACCGCTCCCCACATCCACCACACACCCACCACACACACACACACACCTGTCAAAGCCCCTCCTCCTCCCCCAACTAATTTATAGAGAAATGTGACCTTGAAGAGGGGGCCTATGCAATTTACCAATTATAGTGACGCATCCACCACCTAATGAGATTGATTTGCACCGCGTGCATCGACACCCTGGGTACACGCACGCCTGTATTGTTATCATGTCCCCTCCAAACAAGCCGTGTCCTATTTCGTGCTGCTAGTTAGAGTTCGTGTCTGTTATCCACTTATTATGATTACAATTATCAATGTGTGTATCCGGCTGTGATTGCGTAGATTGAATACAATACATCCGTTGCTGTGATAATTATTGACCAAATTTGACTCCCCCCCCCCATCATCAGCCATGATCCATCCACTGCTGGATGTAAGTCCGTGTACACCCTCTTCAACACGTGTTTCCAAAATCACCTCCAGTGTCTATGGGACCACGTCTTTTTTTTTGCTGGTATCAAAAGTATGAAAAAATAGTCGGCTGTACCCTTTCCGGCAATAACACGGGAGGTGTTAGAATGACAAACACCAAATAGACGCATGTATTGCAATGCATCGTATCTGCGCTAACCACACGTGCTTGTACTAAAATATGCACATAAACGTGCTTTGGTAATAAAAAAAAGTGTTCATTGTCCTTCAAGTGAGCGGCCTACACCCGAGGGGACAGCCGCCTTGTCTCTCACCACCAGTGTTGGACCAGAGGACGCCAAAAGGCGAACAGCACAAAAGCAATGCACGTATCAGAGCATCTCGAGCTCCAGGTGAGCAGCTATTTCAATGGAACCAGTTTTAACTGGTGAGACAAGGCAATAAAGGAGACTGTCTCTGATGTAGGCCAAATCAGTTACAAAGACAATGCATATATAATAATTAGCAAAGCGTAGTTGTTTGAATGTTTTGCCGTCGGCATGTGTGGTGAATGCGGACGTGATGCCTATCAATTGGTGTGTCTATTTGGTGTTTAAACGTCTGAAAGCCGCTTGTGTTATTATGCAAGGTGTAAAGCCTATTCTCTGTTCTTCACCTACAGGCTGGTCCAAATGTCTTATGACCCCCCCCCCCCCCCCCCCCACCAATTTAATTCTATAAAACGTTATATTTGTTTAAAGGTTTATTTAATAAAAAAAAATATATATGCAAAACAAAATTTGAGGGGTCAATTATTTGCGGGTCACAAGACACCTGGATCACGAACAGGCAGCGATACACAACCTCGTGAACTCGCCGATAATCATATACACGTGCTGGGCTAAGAGTTGATTGTAATTGCCAATTGAAAATCAACAGCGCCAGCAGCCGAGCGCAGACGCAATGGAGGGTAAACTCAGGTGGGTCTTGTGTGCACCGGACCCCTAAACCAGCTTCCCGAGTTCGATTCACCGTCCATAGCTAAATATCGGAGATGAATAATTATCCTCGGCCTCTCTTAGGTCGACTCAGCCTTAAATATGTGGCTGGTGCGGTGTGCAACAATCTGCACTGGGGAGACAAATGCAGCCACCCACCCCCTCCTCGTGTGCCCCGATAGTCTGTTAAAGGGCGATGCGGTGATCCTTGTTTGCACTGTGTTGCGAAACCGACTTTCCTGAGTTCGATTCCCAGCCACGGCTAGCATTGGTGATGAATATTTTATTATTTTATCGGAGGCGGTCATGGGCCGCCTCTAGGTCCTCTCGGCCATACATTAGCATCTCGTGCGGTGTGTCGACTTCACTTGGAGGTGGTGGGGGGGAGACAAAGGCGGCCCGGACGTGGCGTAACCGCCACCTGAACTAGCACTGGAAAGATGAAGGCGTCCGTGCGTCGTGTTGCCCATATGAACGTCGCCACGTGTGCCTTTTCAGGAGGCGCTCAAAAGCAGCAATTGCCCCCGATGAGGAATTGCCTAAAGGCTACACCCGGGAGGAGCTTTTTGGTTTTGGTGTCTCCAAACTCGGCGCCTTGATGCGACGCCACAAGGAGCCAGCAGAGGGCACCGTTTAGTCACAAATTGCGCTTCGCAACCACGTTGGCCTCTCTCCGAAGTCGAGTCGGCCTTAAATGAGCTTCTTCGTTGCGAGCGGTTGCGACGAGTGGTGCTGGCGGCAGGAGCGGCGGCGCAGTGGTTAGCGCACTGCACTTCGAGCCCAACAGTCCGAGTTCGATTCCTGGCGATGGCGAAAGCCAAAGGCGATTTTCCGAAGCGGTACTTGAAGCCTTCCCTTAAGTCTACTCGGCCTTAAATAAGAACTTGCTCGAATATGCAACAACACGAGCAGCCGGGGAGACGAAGACGACCGGGCGTGGGTGCTGACCACGCTATCACGCGTGTCTTATTTTATTAATAGTTGCTCGCAAACCGCACATACTTTCCAGCATTTACAGGGAGCTGTTGCCCGCTTTGTGTGTAGGTATATACTATAGTATATATCCACGTGCGTGAGTTGAATCACTCGGAACCACTGGCTATAGCAAATTAGCAAGTGCGTAATGTGCACTTGCTAATTCCATCACCATTAAATCGCACAATCACCGGCCCATCAACCAGGCCATCGCAACGGCCGACTTCGGCAACACCCCCCACCCCCATCCCTGCCTGCCATCGCATTTAAATTATGTCCAATTAAACACGCGACCGACAGAGATCACCAATTAACACAACCCTTCTAATTAAAGTCTCATCGTCAAGATAATCCCCCTTTTTAGCCGCGCGCACGTAGTCGCGTAAGCACATTTGCGCTCCCGCATTGCATTTTTGTTGTTGTGTTGTTGGCAGCGGAATGGTCTTTTAATCACGTACCACGCCTAGCCACAATTAAGGACGCTCGTGAATTTTAGGCCAGTAGTAAAAGTCGACTTACAGACGTGTCTCCCTGTAATAAGCACAACGTGTATATCTCAAGCAAACGGGTTGGGTGGAGGGGGCCTTAAAGCCACCCCGCGGGCCAAGCACGACCCGTGACTTCGTTTAAGATTAATAATAATTGACATTGTCCATCATACATTGTTTTTTTGGGGTTACATCGCGT